GTAGATAATAGTATATTATTCAACAAGCGTATAATGGCGGCTGTTACCCACGAAGAAGAAGTTGCAACACGAGCGAGCGAAGCGAGCGAGTGTTGTAATCTGAGTGGGTAACATCCATTATACGCAAGTTGAATACTATACTTTATCTACAACTATTTAATTTTGAAAAAAAAATCAAAAAAACGAAAAAAAAATAAACTTGATAGACATTTCAGACATAACCTCAATATAAGAAAGCTGTCATTTCTGTTAATATTTTATTTTTTGATTAGTAGGCCGTGTCAGAACTGTGGAATAATGGCCTCATTATTCAACACTTTGTCTGTCATGAGTAATGAGTGTCATTACCCGTCAAAAATCAAATGTATAACGAATAGATAATTCAATAGTTGTAGATAAAAACTTTTTATTTATTAGTTCTGTAAAGTTTGCATTGATGGGCAACTTCACCGGGAAATTAACTTGCATTAATTTTGTTATTTCATAGAACAAGCTAATGATTATTTGGAATAATACTTTAGGATAAATTGATAGATTTTTTATTGGAATAATTTAATACAACTTTAAGGAGTTGTGTCTGGAGCGAGAACACAGACATTAAAGTTGGTTAAAGTTTCGCTCAGTTCTAAAGATCAAGTGTATTATGAAGTGGTACGTACAATGGCCATTCAAAATTCGACTGATTTATGTGTATCGCCGAATCGGGAAACTTTACAACAGGAGTTTAATCCGTCGCGCAGACGTCCAATGAATCCCCCACGGTACACAAATTACGGATAACAGGTTGGGGAGATGTGCACGAAATTTAATGCATCCGGAATCCGAACTATTTAGCTTTATTCCCGCGTTCAAATCATAATACATACCGAATTAACCAAGTCTTAACTAACTATTTGCGCATCTAATTGACTATGCTCTAAAATACAACTATTTCTTGTATAAATTATAGGCATTATTTATTATTATTATTAATAGGAAAATAGAACGGTCACTGAAAACATAACATTATTGATTAGCCGATGTGTGTGCGTGTTTAATAATTTCTATGGTTAATGTAGTCCGTTTTGTTTTCAAAATAAATTGTGGTATCGTCAATTCAATGCTTTCATAGGTCCGTTATAGTTGATGCGTAAATACAATGAACTAAAATGTTCGTTTAATGTCAGATATTTTCCGAAATATTCGTCATATAATATTTATAAAAATTACTATCATCAATCTTCAATTAAAATCATATTATGTATTATATTCGACAGTTATTAAAATTAATTATCAAAATTTGTGGTTAAAATATCAATTTTGAGTTATTATTATTATTATTCGATAAAGCTGGACGCAACTAGTTTTTAAATAATTGCATGAGTTTTAATTTATTCTGAAAAAAATCCTATTATTAACGTATTGTAAATAGACTCCCAAATAATATAACAACTTCCAAGTTTTTTCCTGCAAATTTACTAATTAAGAATTAATTTTAATTGAAACATAAAAAATAATTCGAGTATTGGACTTTATAATTAAATAAGTTAATGTTTTAATTAGCAAGTTTTTTCTTGATTCTAACACATCTCTATATTTTTTAGGGGTTGATCCAAATGTAGGGAGGAAGAAATCAAAATCAAGCAAATCAAGATACGGTTTAAATTATTTAAAAAAAAATGTACAAATTTCGGTTGTAGATCGAAAAACGTTTTGTACTACTAAGACTGATTAAAATAACTCTATAAAAAATAAAGAACATTAAATTAAATCTTTACTGCCTTTTCTTTTATTCTCTTTTTAAACCAGAAAAAAATTGGTGGAATTTCCAAGTACGTTAACGGTTTAGGTTCGACTAATTTTAGCTTAGACCACGCTATTTTTACGTAATGAATGGAACCGCGAGCATTGCTTGCGTTGTGGCTGAATACGAAAATAAAATTGCTACGAACAGGTAATTAAAGAGTTAAATGGTCGTGTGCGAGCGGCGATGAAGTTTTTGAGGTCACCAAGACGTAACTTGCACTCTAAACAATTTTAATCAACCACTTAAGAAGTTACCTAAAAAGTTACTTTAAACGTTTCGTTTACACAATTTCGAAATAAATTTAATTTTTGATATCATTAGATTAATTTATTGAACTAAAATTAGACCTAACACTATCACTATTAGTAGAAAGAGCCGTGCGTCTCTCAAGACGGCTAAACGTAACCTAGTTCTGTTGTTAGTTCTAGTGAAAGTGGTTAGTTAGAATAAGATATCATTATGTTGCATTTTTTTATTGCACTAAAACTAGGACTAACACAAGACCTAGAACTAGAATCATTCGGGTTTAGCCGTCTTGAGAGACGTGCGGCTAAATCCGAATGTTTCTAGTTCTCGGTCCAGTGTTTGTTCTAGTTTTGCACTAGTATTATCACTAGAACTAACACTAGAACTAGAATCATTCGGGTTTAGCCGTCTTGAGAGACGTGCGGCTAATCCCGAATGTTTCTAATTCTAGGTCTAGTGTTAGTTCTAGTATTGCACTAACACTATCACTAGAACTAACACTATCACTAGAACTAACACGAGACCTAGAACTAGAATCATTCGGGTTTAGCCGTCTTGAGAGACGTGTGGCTAAATCCGAATGTTTCTAGTTCTCGGTCTAGTCTTAGTTGTAGTTTTGCACTAGCATTATCACTAGAACTAACACAAGACCTAGAACTAGAATCATTCGGGTTTAGCCGTCTTGAGAGACGTGCGGCTAAAATCACTAGAACTAACACAAGACCTAGAACTAGAATCATTCGGGTTTAGCCGTCTTGAGAGACGTGTGGCTAAATCCGAATGTTTCTAGTTCTCGGTCTAGTCTTAGTTCTAGTTTTGCACTAGCATTATCACTAGAACTAACACAAGACCTAGAACTAGAATCATTCGGGTTTAGCCGTCTTGAGAGACGTGCGGCTAAACCCAAATGTTTCTAATTCTAGGTCTAGTGTTAGTTCTAGTATTGCACTAACACTATCACTAGAACTAACACTATCTAAATCCGAATGTTTCTAGTTCTCGGTCTAGTCTTAGTTCTAGTTTTGCACTAGCATTATCACTAGAATTAACACATGACCTAGAACTAGAATCATTCGGATTTAGCCGTCTCTCAAGACGGCTAAACCTGAATGTTTCTAGTTCTAGTTCTGTTGTTAGTTCTAGTGAAAGTGGTTAGTTAGAATAAGATATCATTATGTTGCATTTTTTTTTGCACTAAAACTAGAACTACCACTAGAACTAACACAAAACCTAGAACTAGAATCAATCGGGTTTAGCCGTCTTGAGAGACGTGCGGCTAAACCCGAATGTTTCTAATTCTAGGTCTAGTGTTAGTTCTAGTATTGCACCAGCACTATCATTAAAAGCACTATCATTAAAGCTATCATTAATAGCACTTTTTCACAAAACGATGCCTTTTCATACGGTTAATTTGAATTATATGGTTCAGAAATTTTTTTTAATGGGAATATATATTTTAGACCAACAGATCAACACCAACTACCTCATTTAGCTCCTGAACAAGATTTTAAAGCCATTATTAGTTCAGCACAACCAATTGTACATAAATCGATAACAACATTTTCTAGTTTGCGTGAAGATGTGTTTTCTGATCTACAAAATATTGATAAAGTACGGTTTGTATAATGTCTTGAGTAGATTGTGTTATGGCGTTTCTCAGAGATTTGTGTAGCCTACTAATCAGCATTCTATGCTGATTCTGAGACCCTTTCACCAACCATATATGTATGTATGTATGGTACAGGGAGTGCATATTCTATACGCGGCACCTAGGCCCCAATGGGATCCTTGGACATTCTCCTCTAAGAGGTCTGAGGTATTATACGAGCGTATCTCGATTTTTGGCTGATTTCGCTTCCAGATTGACACGCCTCTTCACCAGGCGTGCTGTGCACAGACACCAGTGCGGGTTCGCCCCTGTCAGGTGCCGCTCAAAGATACCACTCCCTCGCTGACCCCCTCGAAGTAAAGTGGAGCAAAGCTCATCAACCCTGCATTCAGCCATTCTGCATGGGTGATTACGACCAAGGTCGGTTGAGTAAACATACTGCATAAGGTTACCCAACTCCCTATGAACGCTATTGTTCTGAACGTATCCCCCCCGCAGAGGCCTTGCTATAAAGTCATTGGAGAATTGTAATTTCTACGTTTTCATTTTTACTGGGAATTTCATATAACTCGCAATATATGAATGCAGTAACCATTGTTACGAAACTGTTCTACATGAAATGCAACATAGCTTAATAGTACAGGCATTGGGTAGTTTTGCAGAGGAAAGGTTTTGCTTTGAAAAAGGTGACGTCCTTATGATAACCCTAAGTTTTCGACCGTCTTAAGAGACGCATGGCTAAACCCGAATGTTTCTGGTTCTAGGTCTAGTGTTAGTTCTAGTTTTGCATTAACACTATTACTAGAACTAACACAAAACCTAGAACTAGAATCATTCGGGTTTAGCCATCTTGAAATACGTGGGGCTAAAAATGAATGTTTCTAGTTCTAGGTCTAGTGTTAGTTCTAGTATACTAGCGCTATCATTAGAACTAACACAAGACCTAGAAGTGGAATCATTCGGATTAAGCCGTCTTGAGAGACGTGCGGCTAAAACCGAATGTTTCTTAGTGTTAGTTCTAGTATTGCACTAGCACTATCACTAGAACTAACACGAGACCTAAAACTAGAATCATTCGGGTTTAGCCGTCTTGAGAGACGTGTGGCTAAATCAGAATGTTTCTAGTTCTCGGTCTAGTCTTAGTTCTAGTTTTGCAGTAGCATTATCACTAGAACTAACACATGACCTAGAACTAGAATCATTCGGATTTAGCCGTCTCTCAAGACGGCTAAACATGAATGTTTCTAGTTCTAGTTCTGTTGTTAGTTCTAGTGAAAGTGGTTAGTCAGAATAAGATATCATTATGTTGCATTTTTTTATTGCACTAAAACTAGAACTACCACTAGAAGTAACACAAAACCTAGAACTAGAATCATTCGGGTTTAGCCGTCTTGAGAGACGTGCTGCTAAACCCGAATGTTTCTAGTTCTCGGTCTAGTATCAGTTCTGGAATTGCACTAACACTATCACTAGAACTAACACGAGACCTAGAACTAGAATCATTCGGGTTTAGCCGTCTTGAGAGACGTGTGGCTAAATCCGAATTTTTCTATTTCTGGGTCTAGTCTTAGTTCTAGTTTTGCAGTAGCATTATCACTAGAACTAACACATGACCTAGAACTAGAATCATTCGGATTTAGCCGTCTTGAGAGACGTGCGGCTAAATCCGAATGTTTCTATTTCTAGTTCTAATGTTAGTTCTAGTAATACTGCTAGTGATAGTTCTAATAGCTAGAATTCACAGTTCATTTATTATTTGAACTAACTAATAATAAAGTATAAAAAATAAAATTAAATATAAATTGTAATAAATAAAATTAATAAAATAAATTAACTTAATATTTATTTAGTTATCCAATTTAGATAATAAATTAAATTGTTTTTTACCTTGACTTTAGTTGCAAAAGATATTGTTACAAAAGAAGTAAAATTTTCACTTTCTACCTTGAATACTCCAACGTGATACATTGGGAAAGCGAAAGAATTTTTTAAGAATCTTTAAAACTAACAGAAATAAAATGGACCTTCCCGCTAACGGTTAGGTGTTAACGAAAACAACGATTATTCAAAGTTCTAAGTCCGTTACAGTTCACAAATATAAATAGACCCCCTTTTATACGGCAGCATTTTACAAACGGACGAAGAAGAAAAGAGAACCGCTGTCACTCACAGTTCCTATTTTACGAGCATAGGCGACGTTGTCGTTACATAATTCATATCGACTACAAACAACAAAAACGTATGAGAAGGTAGAAACTTCACCATCAAAATATGTCCTCTTTGTTTAGTGTTGCTTCTAAATTGCAATAAAAATTTGTTATATAGAAAAAAAATATACCCACATAGAATTTACGTTTTATTTCACTTCACTTACACTATTAGGAAGCTTTACTATACGTCCATATAGATGTTTCGAGTACATAACCTTGACTTTTAAAGTACGTTCCACATAGCCGAGTGCTTTGAGCGCCGAAATATTCTACGTTGGAATCTCTTATCGCACAGGAAATACTTCTAAAAAAGTCTTGAAACTATCTGAATTGGTGGAAATTTATACTGATAAGTCACCCTGTATATCAATTATGGAACTGTATGTATATTTACAAGAATAAAAGTTATTGATCGACACGCCGTCATTGTTTACGTTCGTCAATAAAAAAATACTCGATTCATTATCTTTTTCCGTAATGCATAAATTCGCATATAAAACGGCACAAAGATCAAAGTCTTCAACGCGGAATAAATTAAAACGGAAATTTTTTTACAAAGCGCGCCCGGCCGTTGTAGACAATGGCTGAGGGGCACAACGACGGTGCAAACGGCTTAGTATGCAAATGGGGCGTAAGGGCGGCGTCGAAGACGACTCTCTCGGCGGAATCCCGAGGAGCCGAGTAGTCGTGGTTTAATATGCGACGACACGTCGCCGCCCCCTTTGAACCTCGAATAATGGACCGACCTCACGGCGCCCGGACCAACTTATTAATTCGGCGACTTAATTTTTGCAGTCGATAACTGCCGCCATGGGACACTTCCCGATTCTACCACCCGAATTAACTGAAACTTTAATAACTACACTACTCAAAAGATATTTTCTATGAAAATGATTTATTAAAAAAAAATCAAATACATTAACTTAAAAGAAAAGTTTTGCTTGGAAAAGGTGACATCTATATGTATTACACTAGCACTATCATTAGAACTAACACAAAACTTAGAAGTTCTAGTGACAGTGGTAGGTAGCGCTAGTTAGCATAAGATATCACTATGTTGCATATTTTTATTGCATTAAAACTAGAACTAACACAAGACCTAGAACTAGAATCATTCGGGTTTAGCCATCTTGAAATACGTGGGGCTAAAACCGAATGTTTCTAGTTCTAGGTCTAGTGTTAGTTCTAGTATTGCACTAGCACTATCATTAGAACTAACATAAGACGTAGAACTAGAATCATTCGGGTTTAGCCGTCTTGAAAGACGTTCGGCTAAACCCAAATGTTGCTAGTTCTAGGTCTAGTGTTAGTTCTAGTATTGTACTAGCGCTATCATTAGAACTAACACAAGACCTAGAAGTGGAATCATTCGGATTAAGCCGTCTTGAGAGACGTGCGGCTAAAACCGAATGTTTCTTAGTGTTAGTTCTAGTATTGTACTAGTACTATCATTAGAACTAACACAAGACATAGAACTAGAATCATTCGGGTTTAGCCGTCTTGAAAGACGTGCGGCTAAAACCGAATGTTTCTAGTTCTAGGTCTAGTGTTAGTTCTAGTTTTACACTAGCACTATCACTAGAACTAACACAAGACCTAGAACTAGAATCATTCGGGTTTAGCCGTCTTAAAAGACGTGCGGCTAAACCCGAATGTTTCTAGTTCTAGGTCTTGTGTTAGTTTTAGTATTGCACTAGCACTATCACTAGAACTAACACAAGACCTAGAACTAGAATCATTCGGGTTTAGCCGTCTTAAAAGACGTGCGGCTAAAACCGAATGTTTCTAGTTCTAGGTCTAGTGTTAGTTCTAGTATTGCACCAGCACTATCATTAGAACTAACACAAGACCTAGAACTAGAATCATTCGGGTTTAGCCGTCTTGAAAGACGTGCGGCTAAGCCCGAATGTTTCTAGTTCTAGGTCTTGTGTTAGTTCTAATATTGCACTAGCACTATCATTAGAACTAACACAAGACCTAGAACTAGAATCATTCGGGTTTAGCCGTCTTGAGAGACGTGTGGCTAAACCCGAATGTTTCTAGTTCTAGGTCTAGTGTCAATTTTAGTATTGCACTAGCACTATCATTAGAACTAACACAAGACCTAGAACTAAAATCATTCGGGTTTAGCCGTCTTAAAAGACGTGCGGCTAAACCCGAATGTTTCTAGTTGTAGGTCTTGTGTTAGTTCTAGTATTGCACTAGCACTATCACTAGAACTAACACAAGACCTAGAACTAGAATCATTCGGCTTTAGCCGTCTTGAGAGACGTGCGGCTAAATCCGAATGTTTCTAGTTCTAGGTCTAGTGTTAGTTCTAGTTTTACACTAGCACTATCACTAGAACTAACACAAGACCTAGAACTAGAATCATTCGGGTTTAGCCGTCTTGAGAGACGTGCGGCTAAATCCGAATGTTTCTAGTTCTAGGTCTAGTGTTAGTTCTAGTTTTACACTAGCACTATCACTAGAACTAACACAAGACCTAGAACTAGAATCATTCGGGTTTAGCCGTCTTGAGAGACGTGCGGCTAAACCCGAATGTTTCTAGTTCTAGGTCTTGTGTTAGTTCTAATATTGCACTAGCACTATCATTAGAACTAACACAAGACCTAGAACTAGAATCATTCGGGTTTAGCCGTCTTGAGAGACGTGTGGCTAAACCCGAATGTTTCTAGTTCTAGGTCTAGTGTCAATTTTAGTATTGCACTAGCACTATCATTAGAACTAACACAAGACCTAGAACTAAAATCATTCGGGTTTAGCCGTCTTAAAAGACGTGCGGCTAAACCCGAATGTTTCTAGTTGTAGGTCTTGTGTTAGTTCTAGTATTGCACTAGCACTATCACTAGAACTAACACAAGACCTAGAACTAGAATCATTCGGCTTTAGCCGTCTTGAGAGACGTGCGGCTAAACCCGAATGTTTCTAGTTCTAGGTCTAGTGTTAGTTCTAGTATTGCACCAGCACTATCATTAAAAGCACTATCATTAAAGCTATCATTAATAGCACTATCATTAGAACTAACACAAGCCCTAGAACTAGAATCATTCGGGTTTAGCCGTCTTGAAAGACGTGCGGCTAAACCCAAATGTTTCTAGTTCTAGGTCTTGGGTTAGTTCTAGTTTTAATTGTTATTTAGCGTTAGATTGTGGTATATTTTTCTTGAACAAAAAGTAGAACTAATACTAGACCTAGAACCAGGAACATTCGGGCTTAGCCGTGCGTCTCTTAAGACGGTCTCTCTAGCAAGTTGATGATAGTTAATTCTAGTTTTAGTTCTTATTCAGCGCCAGGTTATTATTCATTTTTATTACACTAATTGTAAAACTAGAGTTAATTATAGTTTTAGTTCAACCAACACCAGCAGTGTAATCCTTCGTATTTATAATTTAAGACACGCCAGCTAGTAAATGATTGACAAGTACACCCATATACAAAGTTAAAAACAGATCTGCTTATGGAAGCGTTCATCAGGTCATATGACGTAAGACTTCCTGTATAAAACCATTCATCGGTGAGCAATTGAATATCTAATGGTTTATTATTCGCTTGTAGGCCACACAATCGATATTGTTACCTCTAAGCAGACAGTTGTAGTGAATAAAAAATTAAATATGTCAGAAGAAATAATTAAAAGTAAAGTTAACAACTTGATTACGTCAATGTTTTAATCATATTAATTTTATTTATGATTACACGTAATGTAACATATAACAATTATTCTAGCAACGCAAATTTAATTTTTATTTTATTATTAAGTTAATAACCAGTTTTAAAAGGTTCTTCAAAATTTTTTTCTCTAAACGTGATACAATAATAGAATCACCTTCAACATTATTGAGTTTATACGTTGGGCATCGGCAATGAAACAATAAATTACTGTCGAAATCGTTTGGACGTAAAGAAAATTGATAGTGATTGCTTACCAACCTCTTTACTTAAGAAATTTAAACCAATTTAAACAAAAAAAATCTCGATTAATAGCAAAAATTTTTAAATAATATTAAATATTGGAAAAAATTGCGCTTTAAATCAAATTTTAAACGTAATTTACTTCCCTAATCTGTATTGTATTGTTTAAAAAATAAACATTTTAACAAACGTAAAAAAAACAAACTGTCAAAGCGTTCACTTTATGTGTGAAATAAACCTAATGCATAGGCATTTAAATGAACCCAGAAAATGGGAGCTAAAAATAAAGTGCGCCGCGAAATTTATCGATGGAAGTTTGAAATAAAAATTCACAATGTAAAACATCGCACCGCTCCCAAATAAATAAATACTAAATAATAAACGAAACGAATTTATACATTTATAACTTTTAACAAAACGGGATTTATTATTTATTAACTTGAAGTAAAAACTAATGCTAATAAATTTTAAAACGTTATCTAATTTTGTCTGTAACGACGAATGTAAGGAAAATTCAAAGGGGGAAACATAGTTACACTTTGATTTTCGCTGAAATTTGCAGAAGCAGTAGAAGAAGCCGAAGCTGGAACGGCGCGACCAGTAGGAGTTGAAGTTTTCGGCGTCATAAAAAGATTTTGCTACACATAAAATAAGAATTAATACTATTTCAGCTCAGAAATTTTTTCTTACCCTCCCTTGTACTCCAGTGGGCACTCTTCTTGCATATCCCGGTTTTAAACTGGAAGGAATCGTAGAAATTGTGCAATCGAGATTGTTGAAAGATTTGGACATGGGTGTACTTGTATTAGCTCTTCCTGATGATAAGGTTAGGTGCAAATTCCGACCAGGAGATGCTTGAGCTTGATAACTCTAAAATTAAATATTAATTTAAAGTATATTTTTTATTTAATATGTTAAGAGCAACTGAGCATATATAAAATATAAACATAACGTTTTGAGTTATTGATGAAAAACCAATTATAAAATTTATTTGACCGGAATATGTTTTCAATTTGCACAACGATATGAATAATATTATATAATCGATACAATTTATTTTTCAAATTAATAATAAGTTATACTAGTCAGTATTTAAAATATATGCAATACAGGCAGTTGTAAATCAAATTACAAATACCAATAACCAATTGGGTCAGTGTACATTTTTACAACCAACTCCCAGACAAAATAAGGTGTTAAATAAATCTATCAAGAATGGATTTATGACTGAGTTAAAAGAGTTCTAGAATTACCGAAAATAATGTACTCAATGCTTAGTTGCTCCATATGAGATATCATCAATAACATACCTTACATAAGTTCTTTAACTTATTAATATCATTACGTTGACTTTCAATGATCTTTTGATATTTTAAAGTGTCCTTTTTCATGTTGCTATATTTTAATTGTAATAAATTAATTAAATTATTGTGTTGCTTCTCTTGAAATTCCACCACCTTTACATAAAATAATTGATAAAATGTAGTTTTTATCCTAATAAAGAAGTACCTTTTTAATTTGATCCATCAAAGGACTGGGCGATTTAAAAAACATTAAGATATCAGGTTGCATGTTTTTTGATAACAAAATCCTCTTGCAAGGTTTTTGGCAAATGGAACAATTTTGATTCGAATCTAAAATATTATTTTTATATTCGATTAATCATATTTCATATATAACCATTTAGTTAATGTTTTTTCATACCTGGTTTAAGGCAATAGTTACATTCCAAGTGGCCACATGCCCCAACGTAAAACGAAGTTTTTTCGCTGTATAGCCGGCCGCAGTTATTACAATGAATCCAACTAGCCATTGGTATTGATAATTTTATAAATAATGTAAATATTATTAGTTAGATCGTTTTATTGTTGAGTTTTGTTACCTAATTGTTGTAACAATTTCAATTTCAACCAACAAAATTATTCTTGTCAAAAATTAAACGTCAGGTTAACCAACTGTTTATTTTTTTTTTTAAATCAAATTTCCCCTAGAAAAATTTACCTATATCTTTTTTAGTTTTTGAATTTATTTTTTTGTTTTATCTTTGCATTAAAAGTTAATATCTATATATTCAATGTAATCATTATAACCTTTTATATACACATATTAATTTACAATTAAACAAAGTAAATTAACATATCAAAAATTTACAAAACGGAGCAGCCAACTTTTTAATTAAAAAAAAATTTCTACAAACAAGAAAATATAAATTAATAAATTAAATAATATACCATTAAACTTATAAGAGCTTATAAATTAATATTATTCATAAAGCGCGATCTACCCAAAAAAGATTACAATACAAAATTTGCAGTTTTCTACAATCTAATACAATACCGTAACAATTAAAAAGGTATCAAAAATGTTCTTGGTTTCTTTAAATTAAACCGTACCTATCAAAGGAATAAATTAATTATAATTCAACACGAATTTGTTTTAATTTCAAATTAATTCTTGATTTTGCATCCTTTTCTACCCTTATAATTTCGTATAATCCGTCTCATTTTGATGTAGCAATCATTGTCTATTTCTGAATAACGTCTAAATAACGACGTTATTGATCAAAATCGTAACCAAATTTACGTATAGGTTAAGTGGTTTATAAAAAAAACTAAAGATAACAAAGTTATCCTCTTTCCTATGCTTATTTTAATAGCAAAATCTGATTATACGTAAAATATGTCTAATGATCAAGAAGTAATCAATATAATTGGGGAAAAGCTGTCTTCATCTAATATAACCATAAAAAATGTATCCTTTTTGTAATCTTAATTCAATTAATTTCATCGCAAATCTTTTAGGTTCTTTTAAGTGTAGTTATTCCCCAAGAAGTCTTAACTTTAAGTAATATTATTTTTACTCTAGTCGAGTGCAATGGCAGTTACGGTTTATTTATATTTGAATCTGGTAAAAGAATCCCAACAAAATTCTCCGATCTTACTATTGAACATGTCATACCAATCGATGAGTACTTCTACTGTGATAATGAATCCATTCCAAGCAGTTATACACACGAACGGTTTTCAATAACATATAAAATGTTACGGCTAACTTTTCACATTGAAATTGGACCCGATAGCGATGTTTTTAAGGATGAAATAACCAGAGCTAAAGAAGGTTAAATAAATTAATCATAAAATACTTTACAATAGCCATTTATTTCTAATTTTTGTAGCATTTTTGTTGAATTCTGTTGATCATAAATGGTTGGAGAGGTATCGAAATGATTCAGGATCTTATGATGTTGAATTTGGTGAGGTAAGGGCACAAATTAAAAGAATTTTTTATTATTAAATTGACATTTTAATATGACATATTTATTTATAAAAGGATGAGGTCAAAAGATATTAATTTAGGATATCAATGTGTAAAGTTTAATTTTTTTTTGTATTACTAAATAATAAATAAATTTTTAGGGAAATTTACCTGCATCAAGACAAAGGGGAGCCAGAGGGCACACTTCTGCAAGTAGAGAATCAATGTTAAGGTTCGAAATGGAATCAAGAAAATCACAATACACAAAAATCACCGAACGTAGGTTTGTAAATAAAAAAATGCTTTTTATTCCTTAATAAGAGCAAATTTGATTTAAAGCATATTTGTGGGAACTTGGAACGTTAATGGACAACTCCCTCCACCTAATCTCATGCTAAAATATTGGTTAGCAATCGAAAAAGAACCCCCAATGTTGTATGCGATTGGTTTTCAAGAATTAGATCTAAGCAAAGAAGCTTTTTTATTTAATGATAGCCCCCGAGAAGCGGAATGGGAGTAATTCTTTATTATAAACGTTATTATTATTTTTATTTTATTTTTTATTTTGATTTTAGAAAAGCAGTTATGGCTTCAACACACCCAGATGCTAAATATAGACGTTTGGCTTTAATTCGCTTAGTTGGAATTCAATTGATTGTCTTAATACATTCCGATCATTATAGTCATGTTAAAGATGTCGATAGCAGCACTGTTGGAACAGGGCTTTTAGGCAAAATGGTTTATTTGTTTATTTATTTTTTTATTTATCCAATTAATTAATAAAAAAAATTTAGGGTAACAAAGGAGGAGTTGCAGTGAGGATACGTTTATACGACACAACCTTATGCTTTGTATGTTCGCATTTAGCAGCGCATCAAGATGAAGTTGAACGAAGAAATCAAGATTACAGAGATATAGTTGATCGAATTAATTTTCGTAAACCGCCGCAAACAATTAAAGAACACGAGTACTATTTTTATATTATTTATTTAATCTCATTTATGATTCGTTCAATTTTATTTTAGCCAATTATATTGGCTTGGAGATTTAAATTATAGGATAATGAAATTCAATGGGGACGACGTAAAAAAGTTGCTGTACGCCAAAGAGTTGGATCTTCTTCTAAAACATGATCAGTTAATGTTGGAACAACAGAAAGGGAAATGTTTTGAGGTAAAAATAAAGTTAAAATTGAATTGGCAGTTGTATTATACTTGACGTAATGCGTTAAAACATTTATGGGGGGGAATTACTTCGTTATCCAACATAAACCAAATAATAATTTATGCAGTTTAGTTTGTTATAGGGTCCACAAAAATTTTTTTTTTAATTCACATATCCTGTTTTTACATCTTTACATTTGTTTACACTCCTGACTGGCACAGAACTTGATAGAAATACACAAGATTCTTAACAAAATTTATTTAGGGGTTTGAAAAGTTATATTTATTTCAAAATAGAAGAATATGTTTGTTGCCTTCGCTGTCTGGAAGTTGTCCTATGGTTGTCGACCAATACATAATAGAGTAAAACTGCATAGCTCCTCTGGTATATAATGTAGGAATTTTTTGATGTCTGCGATTTTTTTGTCATTGGTTCGGTAGAGCCAAGGTAACAGTTTGCTTTTCTCAGTGTAAAAGTGCGCTGAAGCAACCCACGAATATACTAAGAAGTAACAACTTTATTTGGTTCATTGATAATAAACTGACGCATGATATCTCGGTGGTATCGTTTTTGCTGATATCTCAACTTTATCTTCTTTTTTGACGTGCCTTCCATTACTGTCGCCTAAAATGCATAATCTCTTGTAAAATGTCAACCACCACTTCTTAAACTCCTTTATTTCTCCAGTCGTCACTTTTATTATATTAAATCTTCCCGTTTTGATTGAATTTTTCATTAATACCTCATATTCAGCAGACGTGATGAATGGCCCCTGACAGGAAAGAAAATTTCTATATTTTTGAGGATTTTCAGTTCCACTAAGGCCATACACATTTTTAGCAAAGAATGATTTTTATTTTTAAGAGGAGAAGATTTTCTTGATCATCTGGCTTATATCTGTTAATATAACTCACAAGTAACACTAGGGAAGTGCCAAACGGCGATTTTCTTGAAATTTGGCACACAAGTAAAAATATTCGACACGTATATTGTCATTTCTGATCGCCGTTTTAAGGGTAGAAATCACCCTTTCCGATTTTGGAGATAAGTGCGATTATTTTACGAATTATTTTTACAATTTTTGCGAAATCATGTCCCTAGGACTTTTAGGGACTTTTAGACGAATCTGATGTCCGTTTTCGAGAAATCCTTGTTAAAAATTGACACAAATTTAACAAACGATAATTTTAAGGCGGATTTCTAGGAAACGGTTGATATCAAAAACTACCCCCAACAGTAACGAATCATGGAAACTCATCACTACAAGTAGTGATGCATATAAAAACTTTGTAAACAACAAAACAGACAATATTGCCGTATTTGCAACAAAATTAGGCAAATTAACGTCCGATCTTGCCATTAATTGATTCAAACACGTTTTTTTACCAAACACCCGGGAAAACTCTTGTTAGATTCTTGAACTGGCCAGATTGAAAAAAATTGGCAATATTGATCAATTTCGCTAGTGTTGATTCTGTGTTCATCGTGTAAATGTTGAATTTAGATGTGAATGTTTTATAAAAAACTACTCAATTTGAAACGACGAAAGTGATATATTAATTGATTTCTGTGCTACGATCGTTTCGACCAATATGTTAGTCTTCACTAAACACTTCTAAAACGAATGTACAAAGTTTGTTAGTTATGATACATTTTATAATATTAATATTTATATACCGAATAACGTATAATGTTAAATGTACTAAATAACCCACTAGGTGGCAGTATAAAGATGTAGTCATTAAAGTCCCTAAATTTACAAAGTACCGCGGTTTGACGCCATTTTGGCTCGAAAGTCAAGCGGGAAATTTAAAACTACAAACCAAAACATTACGCCAAATTTCCTTACTTTTTTTCTCGTGGTACTCTGAAGAGTCGAAAGTCCTTCTTACTGCCATTTTTGCAACTCCAAAGGCAACAAGACGGCAATATTTTTGTAAATAAGTGGTGACATGCAGTGACCAAGGTTTATATACAGTGTGTCCCCGGATAGGTGAAACGACTCTTATAAAAGGTAAAATTTTTAGATATTAATTGTCATTTTTTGTGGTTTAGCCCTGCTTGATTAAAGACTAATTTTGAACATATTTTCAATTTTTAAAAAAGAAGTGAGCCTTGACAGTGAAAGAAAAACACTTTTTGTGGCAGGTAAAGTACCTTTTCTGTTTACAGTAGTGAAAGTTTTACTAAGAAGTTTTGTTCAAAATGAAAAACTATGGCCATATGCAAATTTTCGGAATGATCGGCCTACTTTGAAAAAATCCATATCAAACAATTTTATTTTTAATAAAGACTGCCATGGAAAAACAAAATTGCTTTCCTGTCACTGTTAATCTGTCAATCTGTAATATAGTAAACTTTAACTGTTTTTTAAGTACTATGTTAACATTAGAGGAAAAAGTTTATGTGATTCAGTGTTATGGAACCGGGGAAAAACCGATAAATATGGTTATTGCTCTATTTAGTGAAAAATTTCCAAATACTGGAATTAAAAAAAGTACTTGTTGGCGTTTAATCAAAAAATTTCTTACAGCAGGAAGTCTTAGATGAATCTAAGAAAAAAAATTATGATGAAGCTGATTAACTGTTTTCTTTTGTGGGCGAACACACACTTAATTTTTTGTGAACATTTTAAGAACGGTTTGTTTATTTCTCCCGAATAATCTGAATCTCAAAACAAAAAATTCTAATAAAGTACTATTGACGAAAATAATAAACAATGGGTTTTATCAAAGTAGGCCAATGATTCCGAAAATGTACATATGGTCATAACTTTTCATTCTGAATAGAATTTCTTAGTAACATTTTACCATACTGTAAATAGAAAAGGTATTTTACCTGACACACAAGAAGTTTTCGCTTTAGTGTTAACACACCCTTGTTTTTTAAAATTTGAAAATATGTTCAAAATTAGTCTTTAACCAAGCAGGGCTGAACCCCAAAAGATGACAATTAATATAGAAAAAAATTTACATTTTATAACAGTCGTTTCACCTATCCGGGGACACACTGTATAAGAGGTTGTCTAGGTTCGTACGCAATCATACTGCGCATTACGTCACATGTGGAAAATAATACCGCCAAGCAATTCAAATTAACCAAAGGCATGGAGCACCACATGGCCATGAGGTTGCGTGCGCAATCCGTGATCGCTTACGTCACGAAACACTCCTGCTCTTGCCCCTCGCCCACAAACTAAAATCAAAGTATTGCAGCATAGGAACTTAGACAACCTTTAATACATAAACCTTGTGCAGTGACAAGCTGTCAAACAGCTATTTTGGCTCGAAAACAGGCTTCATGAACCACAGTACTTTGTAAATCTAGGGACTTTAGTAGTCATTAAAGTGATAAAGAGATGGCATTAGTTTAATATGTCTGCTGTACAATTCAAATGACCACGTCGAAAAAGTACGTCTGTTCTTCTAAGGGATGTCACTCTATAATTATAATCTCTAAAGTCCCTAGATTTACAAAGTACCGCGGTTTGCCGCCATTTTGGCTCGAAAGTCAAAAACTATGTCGTTCTATTGATAACATTACGCCAAATTTCCTTTCTTTTTTTCTCGTGGTACTCTGAAGAGTCGAAAGTCCTTCTTACTCTTATTTTTGCAACTCCAAAGGCAACAAGATGGCAATATTTTTGTAAATAAGTGGTGAGATGCAGTGACAAGCTGTCAAACCGCCATTTTGGCTCGAAAACAGGCTTCATGAACCACGGTACTTTGTAAATCCATGGATATTTAGTAGTCAATAAAGTCCCTAGATTTACAAAGTACCGCGGTTCATGACGTCTGTTTTCGAGCCAAAATGGTGGTTTGACAACTTGTCACTGCATCTCACCACGTATTTACAAAAATCTTGCCGCCTTTGGAGTTGCAAAAATATCAGTAAGAAGGGCTTTCGACTCTTCAGAGTACCACGAGAAAAAAGAAAGAAATTTTGGCGTAATGTTATCAATAGAATGACATAGTTTTAAATTTCCCGCTTGATTTTCGAGCCAAAATGGCGACAAACCGCGGTACTTTGTAATTCTAGGGACTTTAGTAGTTATGCAAAAACAGTCAGGTAGGGAATCAGAACAGACTAAAGGTTAAAATGTATCATCATAACTAACAAACTTTGTACATCCGTTTTAGAAATGCCTGATGAAAATCAACATATTGATCGAAACGATCGTAGCATAGAAATAAATTAATATATCACTTTCATCGTTTCAAATTGTGTAGTTTTTTTTATAAACCATTCACACCTAAATTCAATATTGATAAAGACAATAAAAACATCCAAATTTTTACGATTGCCACTGGAATAACTGGATTCATTCAGCCGCTAAACATTTATACTTTTAGGTCTTGGAAGAATTTTTTAAGACAATTTTCTGCCATTGTTATGCTGTATAATTAAGAAGTAAATTTATATTTACGGAACAACAACCTCAAAATACAGTCTTTATACTGCTGTTTCAAAAACTGTAATAATACAGTACCAAATTTAAAGACAGCCAAATCTAAAAATGTCACATAACCCCTTTTTACATCTGCCAATTCAATTCTAAGTTAGAATTTTTAGGCAAAAAGTGATTGATTTACAGTTTAGCCTCGGATCCATCTTCTAAAGTTTTCTCTCTCCCCAGCAAGTATGTTGAGCTGCTGCATAGTCTTCCCATGTTGTTCTTGGAGCGTCATTCGACGCATCTCTTCTTCCTCTCGTGTGCCAAACAAAATTTGGAAGTGTTTTCCAGGTCGTTTTTATCTTTTGTGTCTCTTATTATCTGTCCTTCGGCATTCTTACAGAGATTTTTCCACGGTTAGATTGCGTAGATGTCATTATTTTGGAAATCTTTCCATATATTTCTGTATGCTTCGTAAGTAGGGATGAGTCTCAAAATTAATTTAAAGTTTCTGTAAAAATGTTACTTTGATTATTTCTTAGCTAGTCATATATGAAGAGATCTTAGATAGTGTACACGAAAAAATTTATTTCTTATTATAGACGTGTTACACTTAATCTGGGGTTTTCGGAAATTCCGCGTTTTTATTGATGGTTATGCGTCATTACCGAGTAATGAAAATCCCGGCCAGCTCAACACGTTAGTCTGGTTAAGTAGCCAGATTTAAGTGTTTAGTATCAACATTGACTCACAAATTATAACTTTTTCACGGTATCCAATTCAAAAATACACAATATCTTCAAAAGTAGTTACCTATTAATTATTTTTTATATTTTTAGGGATTCTTAGAAGCACCAATACATTTCCAACCGACATACAAATACGATTTAAACAGCGACCATTACGATACAAGCGAAAAAGGTCGTGCACCGGCGTGGACAGATCGCGTTCTTTATCGAGGCAAAGGAATCCATCCGACAGTATACCGATGTCACATGGAACTCCAAACGAGCGATCATAAACCGATTAGTTGCGTCTTTAAATCCGAAATAGCCGTAATCGACGAAACGAAACAAAAACGCGTTCAAGAGGAAGTGTTTAAATTAATGGATAAGTTAGAAAACGAAATTTTACCGCAAGTTACGGTCGATCGGACGGAATTAACTTTCGAAAGGGTTCGTTTTAACGAACCCGTTCATAAAGAAGTGATCGTTGCTAATACGGGGCAAGTCCCTGTTACTTTTTGTTTTGCTAATAAAATTAAGGAGGAAAAGTATTGTAAGGATTGGTTGAGGATTACACCGAATCGAAAAGATATTGAACCAGGTTATTTTTATTAATTAATTAATAATTTAACTTTTTGTAATTCGCGATGGTAATGAAAGCTATTACAATACTCAAACGGGTGCTGAAATGAGACTCCTTACAGCATCCGATGCTGTAATGAGATTTTAATAACATTTTATGGAACCAGTTCAAGTTGGTCATTAATTTTTGTAGTTGTCAATGTGACAATTTTTGCCTATGGATGTTTAAACACGTTCTTAGCATCGAATACAAAGTCCACAATGATGAGGACATTAAACTCTGAGCAATTTCTCTTATTTTAGGAGGTGTACATGAAAAATTTTTTTCAGGTGGTTTTGACAGTTTCTAATTGTCAAATCAAATTTATATTTTCAAGTGTTACCAACTGCTACATACCTATTTCCCTACATTGTCAAAATTTATTTTATTTTTTTGGATAAAAACGCGAATTACAAAAAATAGCATAGAAAACACGTTTCATAAAACTTAAAGCACTAGTTTTTTTAATATACTATTATTTTTTTAATTAAAGGTGATAAATGTGATATTCGATTTGAAGTAACACTTCTCGACGCGGGAAATTACTTGGAAGACATTTTAGTTTTGCACCTTGAAAACGGAAAAGATATCTTCATTTCCGTTTCCGCTCAATGCGAAAGATCGTGTTTTACAACTTCGATATCGGTTTTGTGTCGATGTCCCGTTCCGATTTTGAATATGACAGCGGAACAAATTTATCAAGCCGAACGCGAACAAATTCCTTTGCGCTATTCGATACCAAGGGAACTCTGGCTGCTCGTTGATTATCTTTATAGACACGGATTGAGAATGCGGATGTTTGAATCGACGGCTCTTCACGATGATATTATTAAAATTAGAGATTGGTTGGATCATGGCTCGTTAAATCCGATTCGTATCCTTTAAATTTGGGTTAAATTAAACGTTTTTAAATGAAATATTTTTCTTAATTTTTTTGTTTAGCTGTTGATAATGTAACTGCCGTTGCTGAATGTCTTTTATTATTTTTATCGCATACAAAAGATCCGATAATCCCTTATCATTTAACTGAGACTGCATCATCTCAAGCTAATAACTTCTTAAATTGTAGAGAGGTAAAAATATTTACTAGGTAATTATATTTTTGATAATGTGATAACTTGTAGATTCTCGAGAAAGTCCCTGATTTACATAGGAGTGTTTTTTTGTATATAATTATGTTCCTGAAAGAAGTGTTAAAATATGGTGGTGAAAATGGAACGGATCCAAAAATTTTAGCCACGATTTTCGGTGATATTTTACTTAGAAGTCCAAAAGGAAAAGTTGAAAGGCAGCAAATCCAAAGGGGAAAAATGGGTTTTGTTCATCAATTTCTTATAAATGACATAAGTTCAATGATTGTCCCTTCAGCAAACAAATAATAGTGTAAATGTCTTTAATGTCTAGTATTTATTAATTGTTTTAGATTATAAGCTAATTAAAATAACATAACCCAAAAAAAACTTATTGTGTCAGTATTGAATTTATTATTTTTGTAGAAAGATTTTGCTTCAATAAAATTATTGCTATAAACATTTATAATTCATCATCTACTACACTATTTGGAGCCAATTTTAAACTAAAACCTTTTTTAATCAACAAAAAATTACACTCCTCCCTATTTTTATCTTCTAATGGAATGCGTTCCATTTCGTTATCATCTTCATCTAAAATTACAAGCTCCGGAGGATGTCCTTGTATCTTCTTAAACGTTAAATCAGCATATTTTGGGACATCTTCATAAATGAATTGTTTCACTTCTTTTAAATAGTTTAATTTACAACCGGGGCAACTCTAAAACAGAATATGTTAATAAATAACGCCACAACTTACATTTTCTTTTACCTCTATACGCCCCCTAATTGATTTCGACCTTCCCCAAATTCCTTGAGTGATAATTAATAGAAAAACTAATGCAAGTAAATGCTTCATTGTAGGTAATTGTTTAAAACTATTCAAATACACGTACTCTTAAATAATCTTATCGAAAAAGTTGAGTTTTTGAAATACTTCAAATAGATAAGTTTGAAGTGACAATGAGTTGACGTAAATACATAACCTCACTTTTTGTTACACAAGATATTAAATGAGTTAATTTTTACGTTAACAATTTGTATTTATCGATATATAAGATAAACCGATCAACAAGTTAAAAAACAACTCAAAAGTTTCTAATTTTGACTTACTTACATTTTTGGAATCTTTCATCCAAGTATCGTTTTTTAATATCTGTAGGATTTCCAGTTCTACCGGAAGTCGCCAGCTTCTTTATTTTTTAAATGGAACCCTGTATATTTTTACATATTTGGATTTGTCTACTTTCAAAGTTTATGAATAACTTTACTTTTTGCAATTTGATTCGGCCCTGCTCGAGTATTTCTTAAAAAAATCTGCTTTTGCAGACATTTGTTCAAAAAATCAGAAAACACTCGATTTTTGGTAACTATTCGAAATTTGGAAGTACCATAACTTCATCTTTTTAAACAACACTTCCCATATTTTATTACTTAGTCGTCTTTGGGTAAACATTAATAGTTTGGGAGATAATTATGGTTTTTTGAAAAATGCACACATATCTATTGATATTAACCGAGTGTGCCATGGAAAACAAGCCTTCTCTATGAGTTCTTGTCAAAGTCTCACTTGTTTACGTCACTTGATGCATGTGTGCTGATGATTATCTGTTAGGTGCTTTAATATTAGTACTAAAGAGTTAAAATCAATAGCGAAAACAATATTTACACATATCAAGACATTCTTAATTTATTTTTTATACAGGAAAGCGCAACAAAGTTCATAGTAGAACTTGAGGAATATTTAACAAAAGCTATATCAATCAACATTTACTTCATATGACAAAAAATTGGTATAAAAAGCTAGAAACAAGTTACAATAAATGTTCGAAATGGTGGCCGTTCGCATTCAAGCACTGAGTTATACGTGAAGAAACACCCTCAAGTTTTGCTCTTCGTACTTCTTGAGGAGAGAGACTGTCGAATGCTGCTTCTAATTCCTCCCTGGTGTTTATCTGGTAGACCTGATGATGTCCACAGGCGTCAAATCTGGAGATCTTACCAGCCATTTCCAAGGTCCTAACCGCCTTATCCACCTGTCTTCAAACGTTAAGGTCAGCTCTTGGGTGCAATGCGCCGGAGCTCCATCCAGTTGATACCAACAGCTTCCTCTCAAGTTCAAAGACAGGTTGTCAAGAAAATCTTCTACCACAGTACGTGTAACAAATTCAACTAACGCTGTCGTTAAAACACCGTCATAAATGACGTAAGAGAACCTAACCTAATGGTTTCTTTCTCAGATTGCATGCGGGTTGACGGAAGCCCAGATATTTATACGCAAAAACTTAGGTTCGCCTGTCCATATAACTTTTTTCAAAAAGTTTTCACCCTATTGACAGCGAAGGTATAGCATCTCACACACACAAGTTTATTCGGTCATCGGGATCTTGAGGATGAAGGTCTAACTAACGAGAACTTGTAATAGTGGAACAGATGTTTCTTGAAGACCCTATGCACTGATTCCGAGATCTTCTTTGGCAGTTTGAATTGAGGCGTTGGGATTGGCATCGAAATAAACCAAGGTATATTTTTTGGTCGGTTTAACACGTGATTAATTCGTTCAAAATGCAAAAAATTTGCTTCTAACTTATTCTTTTATCACCGGGGGTAAATGTGGATAATTTTCATTAAACATTCTGCAAGTTCTACTAAGAACTTTGTCGTACTTTCCGTGCATAAAATAGTATATTATTATATGAGCATATAATAGCTCATTATATGCGAGTAGAATACTATACTTTGTCCACGACTATTGAAATTGATTCCATAAATTTATTTTTTTAAAAAATTTTTGAATAAAGGTTAAACGTCAATGTGACACAAATTCAATGTTACTAACTGTAACCAACTTCACAACAATTTGTCAAAATTAAATGTCAGTTTTATAAAACGTCATTTTCTTTAGGAAAATTAATTAATTTATGCTTAAATCATACGAAAAAAGGAATTTGTTTACGTTTTTTTAATATCAAACATTTAGAAACTCCTAAAAAATTGAATTAAATTGTCGTTTATTGAACTTTTAACGTTTCAAATAATTATTATTAGTCTGGTCAAGATGGCTACCCGTGGATAATTATTATTCACCGCTATTATTCACTCCGTGAAAAATGACTACCATTTTGGTTTAGAAAACTCGTTCATAAGATATATATTATAAGGTAGTCGTGGACAAAATAAATTAAGGATTTCGTCATTTGTATAGTAGACGCCACGAGAGCTGGCAGTAAATCATCACTTTCTGCTCTTACAAATGCCATACGTAGTCCACAAACCGCTAGAGAGTAATGTGTGTTGGAAAGAGATAGCATTAGTTTAATATGTCTGCTGTACAATTCAAATGGCCACGTCGAAAAAGTACGTTTGTTCTTCTAAGGGATGTCACTCTATAATTATAATCTCTAAAGTCCCTAGATTTACAAAGTACCACGGTTTGCCGCCATTTTGGCTCGAAAGTCAAAAACTATGTCGTTCTATTGATAACATTACGCCAAATTTCCTTTCTTTTTTTCTCGTAGTACTCTGAAGAGTCGAAAGTCCTTCTTACTCTCATTTTTGCAACTCCAAAGGCAACAAGACGGCAATATTTTTGTAAATAAGTGGTGAGATGCAGTGACAAGCTGTCAAACCGCCATTTTGGCTTGAAAACAGGCTTCATGAACCGCGGCACTTTATAAACCTAGGGATTGTACGTTTCATAAAGGCCCAACGTCTCAGGTGGTTTGGACATGTCATGAAAATGGCAAATCGCCGGCTACCAAGAAGAATCTTCGAGTCTAACATGCCAGGAAGATGATGTCAAGATTAATCTCGAAATCGCTGCAAGCATGAACTGGAGAGGGATTTTCGGAGTATGAAGGTGTGAAATTGGAACGGCAGAACTTCAAGCCGAGATGGATGGCGGGAAGCCGTGAAGCAGGCTAAGGCTCACCCTGAGCTGTAAAGAAGAAAGAAAGGAAAAAGAACATTTATATCTGTTTTTCTAGTACAATTGTATGAAGTAGTAGGTATTTTTTAGTAAATATTTCAATTTTAGTACGTTTCATAGAGGTACTTATAATTACAATCTGTTCATAGAACATTAATGAATACGAATACCGAATTCTACAGATACATGCATAAAATAAAGGCATACAATGAAGATATCACTGATTATTTCTACACATTTCAAATCATATTAATTGATTCGTTGCCACTATATAATTAAGTTTATTGCTACAAAATCAGCATTCATTCCACAAACAATTAAATTTTAACAATACTACAATTACATATATCACATTACAATACAATACATTTTATTTCCTATCCCACCCCTCCCCATCTCCTCCCCGCATCTCCCTACGCTGCCTTGTCGCCACCACCTCCCTCATCCATTCTCTTCCCTCTGCCCTCTCCCCCAGCACCTGCTTCCAGCCGATCACCTCCTCTCTTAGCTCGTCACACTCCCTCAGTAGGTGCTCCAACGACTCCCACTCCCCCCCACATAGCCTACAACCCCTCTCATCATCTCTCATCCAATACCTATTCGCTCTCTCCTCATTGCCGCATCTGAATCTTGCCACCATCCTCTTCCCCTCCTCATCCCCCTCCACCGACAGGTACTTCGGCAATCCCTCCGTTATTATTTCCTCGTACTTAGGGTTGTACCTGCTCTCCCTTATCTGCCCCCTTCTTTCTTGCCTCTGTACATCTCTATCCCTGCTCTCCAGCTCTTTCCACATCTCAATCCCTTCCCTCCTTCTATCATCTACCGCTTTCACTGAGTACCCCACCCTTCTGAAATATTCCTCCCTCCCTCGTTGCCCGTAACCCCCTTTCCCTGCCTTAATCTCTTTCCAGCACTCCCCCAAAATTTTACATTGAGACCTCCCTTCAACCCTCTCCTCAAAACGTACCGCCCTTTTACCCGCCTCCACTCTTAACTTATCAACCTTCACCTCTTCTCTGACTATGTACTCCGGCGTCTCTTTTGCCAACCCCAAAACCCATCTCCAATACCTAGCCTGTACGCCTTCCAACAGCCCTTGCTCTTTCCACCCCCAAAGCTCCGCCCCGTACATCATAACACTTCTAATCAAGCACTCGAATATCATCTTCCTTTTTCCTATATCCCTTCCAAATAATCTCTCTCCCCACCCCCAGACCTGCCCCATCACCTTATTCGCCTTCTTGGCCATTGCCCTCACATGCGCGCCTTCCTTGTTGTCCTCTCTAAATCTGTACCCCAAATATGTGTACTCCCTCACCTCCTCTATCTCCTTCCCTTCCCACCTCCAATCTTCGCTCTTCCTTCTACCCCCTTTACAGAACTTCATAACCTTTGTCTTTCCTACATTCACCTCCAGAGCCTTCCCCCTAAAGTAACTCTCCAAACTCCGCATCATCGCCTTCATCTCCTTCGCCTCTCTCGCCACTACCACCAAATCGTCCGCGTAAGCCAGTGAATGCACCTTCCTCCTCCCTACAACCACACCTCCCATCTGCCCACCGGTCAATCTGTCTTCCATGTCTGCGGTATACAAGGCAAACAGAGCGGGACTAAGTGGACATCCCTGCCTCAAACCCCTCGTTGTCCAGAACCTATCCGTTAACTCGTCCCCCACCTTTACCCTAGCTATCGTCTCTGCGTATATCTCCCTCACCCTGTTTATTGTCCCACCAGTAATCCCTCTCCTCCTCATCTCCTCCCATAACTTCCCTCTATTCACCTTATCAAAAGCTGCCTTTAGATCTATGAATAGGGCGTAAAGCTTCCCTCCCTTCCCTTCCAGCTCTTTATCCACCAAGTGCTTCAATATGTACACGTTATCTATCGCGCCCCTTCCCTTTCTAAATCCTGCCTGTCCGTCCGGTAAGATCCCTTTCTCTTCCATCTCTTCCTCCAACCTCTGCAGCAGCGCCTTCGCATATATCTTGTACGCCGAGTCCATTAAGCTAATTCCCCTATAACTTTCCACTACTCCCTTCACTCCCTTCTTGTACAAGGGGCTTATTATCGCCGTCCTCCATCCAATCGGAAACCCTTCCCCTTCCCAAACTTTGTTCAGCGCTTCCAACAACTTTCCCCTCACTTCTCCCGTTGCCTCCAGCCATGCCTCATTCTGGACACCGTCCTCCCCTGGAGCCTTCCCCCTCTTTAGTCCCCCCAACGCCGCCTCCATTTGTTCCCCGGCCATCTCCTCTCCTCTCCGTCCCCCTGTATCTACCTCCTCTACCCGCCTCTCCTCTTCCCCCTCCAGCAGACCCTTGAAGTAATCTCTCCACTCCGTCATTTGTATTTCACTGGTAATTTCCTCTCGTACCTTCCTTATTTTGTTTATATATTTCCAAACTTCACCCTCTTGTCTCACCCTTCTAATCTCTTCCGCCTCCCTCTCCCTCAATTCTTTCTTTTTTCTTTTGCATATCTCTTTATATCCCCTCAATGCTTCCCTATATTCTTCCACCCCCGCCAACCCTCTCCGCCACTGTCTCAACTTCCTTCTCGCCTCTCTCTTCGCCCCCATGCACTCACCATCCCACCATTCGTTCCTGCCTAGCTTTGCACTGCCCCCTCGTACGTACTCTTTCTTCAATATCGCTTCCCCCACCACCCGCGCCAGCTCGTCCACCCCCCTAGACATCTCCACTCTCCGTCGCCACCCCTCCAACTTTTCCCTAAAGTGTTCTATCCCTCTTTCCGACCAGTCAGCCCTTATACTTTTTCTTTCCCGATTCAAACTCCCTCTCCCCCACGCGCCCCTTAGTACCAATTCCAGCGGTTGGTGATCCGATTCTACTGATTCTCCCACCCTGAAGCTTTCCACCCTATCCCACATCTCTTGGTCCACCACCACGTAATCAATTACCGACGCCCCCCTTGCCCCTGTATATGTGTACTCCCCTTCTTCTCCCTCCTCCTTATTGCCGTTCAGTATCTCCCATCCGTTCTTCTCCACCCACTGCAACAATTCTCTTCCTTCCCCATTCTGCACCTTATCCTTCGACCCTCGCCCCCTCTCCTCTCCCCATGTCCCCAGCCTTCCTCCCCCTTCCCCCACTCTCGCGTTGAAGTCTCCTCCCATTATTATATATTCGTTGCCACTATGTTTCTTTCAATCGTCAAAATATCCGTGAATCATGTAGTGCCGTGTTCCTTGAAAAGCAGCGAATTTAAAACCAAACGTCATTAAACCTTTACGAAATTGTCTAAATTTGTCCTAAATTGTGAACATAAACGTGAAAAATGGTCTATAATGTTCAAACTGTATCTAAGATTATGTAATCTTGCACTACAATTGTTTAAAATCGCAAAAATTTGTTCAAATTCATATAAATTTTTATAAAAATGTCTAAAATTATTCAAACAGTCTAAAATTAAACATAACATTAGTACTGACACTAGAAATAACACTAAACCTAGAAACTTTCGAGTTTAACCGTGCGTCTTTTGAAAAGGCGTTTGACTTTTCCGACACTTCTAACTTATTTCTGAAGAAGCTTGCAACATGGTAAGAAGAGAGAAGGTATGAAGAGATTGAGGTTGCAAAAAGTCGAAAGTTTCTAGTTGTCCAAAATTATTTAAAATTGCTTAACATGATCAAAATAGACACTGTCTAATACGTCAAAATGTCTAAAATTATTTTAGCCTACTTTGTAAACTTTTGGCAAATTTTGGCGAAATAATCTAAGTCGTACGTCCATATCTTGATTCATACCATTTTTAAGAGATCTGTCACTGCCAGCTCTCGTGGTTTCTACTATATAAACATTATTTACGTTATTAATATCGATTTTAACTGGTTTCAGATTCACAAGTGTCAAACAACGTAAATCAGACTTTGACGTTTGTCAATAACTCACTAAATATTTGTTTTCCATGGCACACTAGGTTAATATCGATAAGATGTGTGCTTTCTTCAAAAACGCTAATTATCTCCCAAACTATTAATGTTAGGTGTAGGAGATATAAGATATAAAAGATGTAAAATGAGACGTTGAAGACGACTAAGTAATAAAATATGGGGGGTGCCATTTAAAAAAATGAAGTTATGGTACTTCCAAATTTTAAAAAGTTAACGATTTAGACAGCCGTGCTTGGCACTAAAACATACTCCATCACGTTGCTTAAACATGTTCTGGATCCTATATTGATATACCAAAAAGCTAGAGCAGATTTGTTTGAAAAAAAGTCGAATAACTCGAGAACGGCCGAATCAAATTGCAAAATGTAACGTTATTCATAAACCTTGAAAATAGACAAATCCAAATACCGTATTTTCTCGAATTTAATCCGCATCTTTTTTATAAATTTTACATGCTCTAAAATCAAATGCGGATTAGATTCGCAGTCGTATAGTTGCAATTTGGAAAATAGTAAAATTATTATAAAAACATTATAACAATAACACTTTATTAAGGGTTTTAGAACGATATTTACTTTTTTATGTATCATTTTCTTCCCATATTAAGTCATCTTCGGATCTGTCCAAAGCATTGGTTATACAAAATTTCTTAAATGATGTTATAATATTGTTTTCAGGGATCGTTTTCCATGTCGCCTACACTTACTGAGCAAGTTCAGAAGCTCGTTTAATTGCTCCCGATTTTGTCAATTCTCGAGTTTGTTAATATATACGATGTCATTCCACCAGGTATTATTGTTATGACAAGAAGTCTAAACCAAGGGCAATCAGTCTATGATTAATTAATATCCTTATTTAATAATCCTCCTGGTCTACGACTCCATACTTGTCTTAACCATTCCATCATCAGCTTTTCCATTATCCATCCTTTTTATTGTGCCCTAACTAAGACGTCATTCGGGAAGTCTTTCGGATATCAGAATGGTTTTTTTCTCAATATTAATAATGACAGCAATTTTTCCCTATTACTTGTTACTACATCAATGTTATGCGCAATTTTTCGCAACCACTCGTTTATAAAGAAATTTCCCACACACCTCTTCTTTCCAATGTGTAATTGGGAGGCATATCCAGATATACTGCCATTTCGTCGGCATTCACAGTTTGAAACAAATTGAAATTTTCTTGAAAATCATTAGGAGCTTTTGGAAAATTTTAATTCTGCGCCTCAATGATAAATCCACAGTCGCATAAATCCTACAGTCCAACCTTTGCTGGTATTACAAATTTGTTAGTCCCTCTTTTCGTTTTTCTTGAGAGAACCAGAAAAATTCCTCATCAATTTCATGAATTCTTCTTTGGTTCGGTAAATTTCTTGCACGATGCCTCACAGTCTGCAATAGCTGCTTTGTCTTTCCGCAACAGCGGCAACGTTACTTTCATTAAGGGCAAAAATAGTACCAGATTTTAGATTTCCTTCTTTTAACGCTAACTTAATAACATCTCTTTAAAACTTCGCTGTATAGAAGAACTTCTTCAATTTTTGCTACTTTTTTCCATAATAATGCTATTATATGTATAATTAAGCACACACCACGTTCGAGCTGCTACGAGGGCAGTATATGAACTGAATTCGTGCTAGGCAATACTATTTATTTTTAAAATCATATTTATTTTCCAATTTTTTCTGGCTTGATAAATTTAAAGTCTAGTCTAATAAAAACTCGTCATAAACAAGGTTTCTTTAGGTGCATTAGCGTCAATCAACGGAAAAAATATATATTTATGGTTAAGAACAAGCATCACATCGCTTTGGTGTTNACATAACCTACATTTAAATGTATGTGGTGAAATAATCTAAGTCGTACGTCCATATCTTGATTCATACCATTTTTAAGCGATCTGTCACTGCCAGCTCTCGTGGTTTCTACTATATAAACATTATTTACGTTATTAATATCGATTTTAATTGGTTTCAGATTCACAAGCGTCAAACAACGTAAATCAGACTTTGACGTTTGTCAATAACTCACTAAACATTTGTTTTCCATGGCACACTAGGTTAATATCGATAAGATGTGTGCTTTCTTCAAAAACCCTAATTATCTCCCAAACTATTAATGTTAGGTGTAGGACATATAAGATATAAAAGATGTAAAATGAGACGTCGAAGACGACTAAATAATAAAATATAGGGGGTGCTATTTAAAAAAAATGAAGTTATGGTACTTCCAAATTTTAAAAAGTTAACGATTTAGACAGCCGTGCTTGGCACTAAAACATACTACTATCACGTTGCTTAAACATGTTCTGGATCCTATATTGATATACCAAAAAGCTAGAGCAGATTTTTTTGAAAAAAAGTCGAATAACTCGACAACGGCCGAATCAAATTGCAAAATGTAACGTTATTCATAAACCTTGAAAATAGACAAATCCAAATACCGTATTTTCTCGAATTTAATCCGCACCTTTTTTACAAATTTTACATGCTCTAAAATCAAATGCGGATTAGATTCGCAGTCGTATAGTTGCAATTTGGAAAATAGTAAAATAAAATCACATTATAACAATAACACTTTATTAAGGGTTTTAGAACGATATTTACTTTTTTATGTATCATTTTCTTCCCATATTACGTCATNAAAATTGTACCAGATTTTAGATTTCCTTCTTTTAACGCTAACTTAATAACATCTCTTTAAACTTCGCTGTATAGAAGAACTTCTTCGATTTTTGCTACTTTTTTCCATAATAATGCTATTATATGTATAATTAAGCACACACCACGTTCGAGCTGCTACGAGGGCAGTATATGAACTGAATTCGTGCTAGGCAATACTATTTATTTTTAAAATCATATTTATTTTCCAATTTTTTCTGGCTTGATAAATTTAAAGTCTAGTCTAATAAAAACTCGTCATAAACAAGGTTTCTTTAGGTGCATTAGCGTCAATCAACGGAAAAAATATATATTTATGGTTAAGAACAAGCATCACATCGCTTTGGTGTTGTCGAATTGCTCAAAGAAAGATGCGGATTACATTCGCAAACAAAATTTTTTTACCACTATGCATTTTTAAAATCGGAGTGCGGATTAGATTCGAGAAAATACGGTACAGTAAAGCTCCGCTAATTCGAACACCCCCAAATCCGAATTCCCTTGTAATCCGAACAAAATTAGAAAACATGAAATTTGCATTATGTCCCTTGCAATCCGAATTGTTAGAAGATTGTTTGTGTGGCCGTTTAAACAAGTTGGAACACGTTTAGTTTTATAGTTTATAGTTACTTGTTTACGTTATACGCTCAGTTTTGCGTAAAAATGCCACCGAAATGGTCGCACAAGACGTTAACAATCGCGGAAAAAGAACAAATATTAATAAAACTGAGTAGTGGTACCAGTGGAAAAGCCTTAGCAGAAAAATATGGTGTCGGTGTGTCAACCATTTCTGGCATTAAAAAAAATTAAAGAAAAAATAAATAGGTATGTATAACATTCTACTATTTTTCTTAAATCGGTAATATATTAACATGGACTTTTTCATGGATTTAAAGTTACATTGCAAGTTATGTCGCAACTCCAGCGCGTAGAAAAGCTTTGCGAAAACCAGAATATCCAGAAATGGAAGATAAGTTGTATAAATGGTTTCAGTTACAGCGAGAAAAACATGCTACATTCACAACTAACTTTTTAAGAGAAAAAGCTCTGAAAATTTTTACTAAATGTTATAAAGACAAAACGTTTATTGCAAGCAGAGGATGGATCAGTCGATTTAAAAATAGACGTGGTATTCGTCAATTAAAAGTGGTTGGAGAGAAACTCTCTAGCGACTCATCTGCAGTACAACCGTTTTTACGAAAATTCACTAAAAAAATGACTGAGCTGAATGTATTACCCAGCCAAATATACAACGCAGATGAATCTGCATTATTCTGGAAACTACTTCCCGATCGTACGTTGGTGCATGCCGGAGAAAGAACTGCTCCAGGGAGAAAAACATCAAAGGAAAGAGTAACTTTTCTTGCTTGTACAAACGGAGATGGCACACATAAACTTAAAATGTTGGTTATCGGAAAAGCAAAAAATCCGAGAGCTTTTAAAAACTGTGCCTGCCTTCCAGTTGAATATTTCTCGACAAAAAATGCTTGGATGACTTCAGCTCTTTTTGTAAAATGGTTTCACGACTCTTTTGTTAAACAAGTTAGAAAATTTCAAGCAGAAAACAATCTGAGTGGTAAAGCAATTTTGTTAATCGACAATGCGCCAAGTCACGCATCGGAAACCAAATTAATAAGCGATGATGGTGAAATTATAACAATGTTTCTGCCACCCAATTGTATTCCACTTATCCAACCTATGGATCAAAATGCAATTCGTTTAACGAAAGTGTATTACCGGAAAAGTCTCTTAGAACATGTTCTATCTATAGAGGAAGACGATATTTCCAAAGCACTGAAGAATATTTCTATTAAGGATGCTGTGTTCATGCTTGCCAATGCTTGGGACAAACTATCGGCTAATTTAATAGCAATTAAAAGTAAAACATGAGAATGCTATTAAAAGCTTCAGTACATGTATTCAATGGGCGGAGGAGAATGCAGTCGATTTAAACACCGTAACAACCCTTAGAATTCTACGGCAACGCGCCATGAAATTTAAACAAGACTGCATGCGACAAACAAAGTTGTTTGATTTTTTTAAATAAACTGTATAAAACATGTATTGCATATATTATCTAGTACAATAAATCTATAAATAAGTATTTATAAGACTTTTTTTGATAATATTTAAATATGACTTCAATAATCCGCATGCTTCCATAATCTGAATTGAGCTGGTTTTAATTGATTCGGATTAGCGAAGCTTTACTGTATGTAAAAATATACAGGTGTTCCATTTAAAAGTATAAAAGTAGATGGCGACTTCCGGTATAACCGGAAGTGCTAGAAATTTGAAAATATTTTAGTTGAAAAGAACGCAATTACTTATACTTAAATTTGAATTCTCAAATTTTTATTTTGGCCAGAACCTCTAATGAACGATCTCGCTGAGATTATACAGGTGTATAATAAAAACATTTCAAAGAAAAAATTTTTAATTTTTATTACACAAGATTTTTTTAAACACTAAGTTAGATTATCATCAAAAATTAATTCATTAATACCTTACTTCCACAATTTCTTAATAGACATATTCTTTTCAGAATCTTTTTGCATAACCTTAGCAACTGCCATTTCAAAATCTTCTTGTGTTACATGTACTCTTCTTTCTCTCAAAGCATACATTCCAGCTTCAGTACAAACGCCCTATAATAAAACAAAAACTTAATTGATTTGAAATATACACAAAAACGTCTTACTTTAACTTCAGCACCACTAGCTCCAGGCATAAGTTCAGCAATCTTCCTCAAATTAATTCCTCTAGTTAAATTCATTTTCCTTGAGTGAATCTTCAAAATGTCTAATCTAGCCTCTTCATTTGGTGGGGGAAATTCGATTTTACGATCAATCCTGCCAGGTCTCAATAAAGCAGGATCCAAAATATCAATACGATTTGTAGCCATAATAACTTTGATGTTTTTAGTTGCTTCAAATCCGTCAAGTTGATTCAAAAGTTCCAACATGGTACGTTGCACTTCAGAATCGCCCCCTGAACCAGATTCAATACGTGACGATCCAATAGAATCAATTTCATCCATAAAAATAATTGATGGAGCGTGTTCTCGAGCCATAACGAATAACTCGCGTACCATACGAGATCCTTCCCCTATGAATTTTTGAACCAATTCTGAACCAGAAACGCGAATGAACGTGCATTCGGTGTGATGGGCTACAGCACGAGCCAATAGGGTTTTTCCAGTACCTGGTGGTCCATATAAGAGAACTCCTTTAGGTTGAGCTATTCCTAAAGCATCAAAAAGTTCTGGATGTTTAACTGGTAATTCAATAACCTCTTTTATCTCTTTAATTTGTTTATCTAAGCCCCCAACCATTTCGTAGGTTGAATCAGGGACTTTTTCAACCATCATAAGTGACACTAAAGGATCAACTTTATTTGGTAAGATTTTATGTAAAGTGTAACTCTCATTTCTTAGAGCCACTCGACAATTTGGGGTTACATCATTGATATCAATGTTTTTGTCAATATCAACTACAAATTTTCCTTCAGGGTGAACTTTTACAAGAACCTTCTTTTTATCCATGGGTTTAACAACTTCTCCCACGTAACTTCCTTGTTCTTGGAGCAACATTAGTTCTTCCCGAAGCATACGAACTTTGGCGTTGAGTTCATTTCTTTGTGCTTGTAGTCGACGCAAGTTTTGACTTTTCTCCGCCACTGTAAGTTGTAATTCTTCAATTTTCGTTACATAGTAGGGCCGGAAACCTTCGCCTTTGGCAAGGTCTACATCCATCTATAAAATAGAACATATTATTGGTTTTTGTTACAGAAAAAGGATATTACAGAATCAATGGGCTTTATTAAAGTTTCTAAATTTGTCGCAATTTGTACAGGAAATTTATGATCTAAAGTTGTGCTACCACTACTTCCAGGGAGTGAAATTTCCCCTCCCATTGTGATAAATATAAAAGGGAAGTATAATAATTTGACAAATAGTTTTAACCCGTCATTAAATTGGTTGAAAACGTAAATTTTACTTTTTAAATTATTTTGAGGTTAGATTAATTCAAATCAATATTTTTAATTGGACAATTATAATTGCAAGCTATAACTTGAATTATTCGTTATTATACTACTTACTTTCATTCCCACCGTCATGATAAACGGATTTTATTCACAAATCGCAAAAATCGTCCACAATGAAAATGATAATCACGATATTTGACGTTTGACAATTACATAGTCAGTGTTGCCAACCTATGCCGACCAAATGTCTGTAAAATTAATGGTAATTATAACAAAAATTGTTGCAAATTTTATTGTTAACAATATTGCTCTTTTGCACTTTTTCTCTTAGATACATCAATATCAAGATAGATACGAAAATATGAAAATTTGATGAATTTGTTACTCCTTCAAGTTATTAAAGATAACACTTGGAAATCGGAGTATGTTATAAGAAAACTTTTATAACAAAAATTGTTACAAATTTTATTGTTAACAATATTGTTCTCTTGCACTTTTGCTCTTAGATACGTCAGTATCGAGATACATACGAAAATATGAAAATTTTATGAATTTGTTGCTTTTTTAAGATATTAAAGCTAACACTTGGGAATCGGAGCATGCTATAAGAAATCTTTTATGACAAAAATTGTTGCAAATTTTATTGTAAACAATATTGCTCTCTTGCACTTTTGCTCTTAGATGCGTCAATATCGAGATACATACGAAAATATGAAAATTTTATGAATTTGTTGCTTTTTTAAGATATTAAAGCTAACACTTGGGAATCGGAGCATGCTATAAGAAATCTTTTATGACAAAAATTGTTGCAAATTTTATTGTAAACAATATTGCTCTCTTGCACTTTTGCTCTTAGATACGTCAATATCGAGGTAGATACGAAAATATGAAAATTTGATGAATTTGTTGCTCTTTCAAGTTATTAAAGGTAACACTTGAGAATCGGAGCTTGCTATAAGAAAACTTTTATAACAAAAATTGTTGCAAATTTTATTGTTAACAATATTGCTCTCTTGCACTTTTGCTCTTAGATACGTCAATATCGAGGTAGATACGAAAATATGAAAATTTGATGAATTTGTTGCTCTTTCAAGTTATTAAAGGTAACACTTGAGAATCGGAGCTTGCTATAAGAAAACTTTTATAACAAAAATTGTTGCAAATTTTATTGTTAACAATATTGCTCTCTTGCACTTTTGCTCTTAGATACGTCAATATCGAGGTAGATACGAAAATATGAAAATTTGATGAATTTGTTGCTCTTTCAAGTTATTAAAGGTAACACTTGAGAATCGGAGCTTGCTATAAGAAAACTTTTATAACAAAAATTGTTGCAAATTTTATTGTTAACAATATTGCTCTCTTGCACTTTTGCTCTTAGATACGTCAATATCGAGGTAGATACGAAAATATGAAAATTTGATGAATTTGTTGCTCTTTCAAGTTATTAAAGGTAACACTTGAGAATCGGAGCTTGCTATAAGAAAACTTTTATAACAAAAATTGTTGCAAATTTTATTGTTAACAATATTGCTCTCTTGCACTTTTGCTCTTAGATACGTCAATATCGAGGTAGATACGAAAATATGAAAATTTGATGAATTTGTTGCTTTTTCAAGTTATTAAAGTTAACACTTGGGAATCGGAGAATGCTATAAGAAAACTTTTATAACAAAAATTGTTGCAAATTTTATTGTTAACAATATTGCTCTCTTGCACTTTTCCTCTTAGATACGTCAATATCGTAATAGATACGAAAATATGAAAATTTGATGAATCTGTAGCTTTTTTAAGTAATTAAAGCTAATACTCGGGAATCGTAGCGTGTTAAAAAAAACTTTTACAATAAAAGTTGTAGCAAATTTTATTGTTAACAATATTGCTCTTTTGCACTATTGCTCTTAGATGCGTCAATATCTATTTTGACAATATTATATTTTGAACCGTTTTCAAATTAGGTATGGGATTTACTTATGACGCGTACTGTATATACCAACGATCTGGCAACGTTGCTCGAACGACAGCATTGCCAATCGATTGGTAACTCTGGTCATAATGTACCATATTATGTAGTGAAGTTTGTTTTTTAGTGGAACCAATTATTTGGTTAATTGTTACAAATAAGAGATATTTTAAATAAAATAAATCTTTATGAATGATTAAAATGAGTTGAATTAGTTGCAAATTAAATAAATTTCAATATTTTAAATAATTAATAATCAACATTTTTTGTTGATAATTATTTACAGGAATTTTTTTTCTGTAATACCATCAATATCTTTTTTCGTTTCTATATAATTAAAGTAGTCTCAAATAAAATTTATTTTAAGTAAATAAATTAAGAGTAAATTAATTTTTACATAATTTTTTAAAATAAATTATAATTTTAATTATTTTCAATTAATTTAAAAGCGCCATCTAGTATCTAGTACCTCAACACATCACATTTTTCGTTTTTATATAATTAAAAGAGTTTCAAATAAAATGTATTTTAAGCAGATAAATTCTCCATATTCATACAAACATTACTAATTAATTAATAATTCTTTGAAATAAATTATAATTTTGGTTATTTTGAATCAATTAAAAAGCGCCATCTACTATTTATTTCCCCTTCAAAACAATATAACCTCTTAATACGTGTTGAACTTTAATTTTTTTTTACCTAATTAAATTAATTACGTTAAATGTTGATGTTAGCAACCCAAAAGTAGATTTGTTTATTTATAATATGTCAGGTGGTTCCGGCGATGAGCAAAGAGAGGACGGTGAATTAAGACAGAGCCCCATTTCGCGTAGACAAAAAATTAATACAATGGAATACAGGTTAGGTGTTATTTTTTTGAAAAAAGTTTTTTATTCATTAATATTTTAGTGACGAAGATGGTGAAACGATCGATTCATTGGATATTAAGCCACCCCAAGCTTCAATTCCATCCCAAAGTCGATCAAAAAGTCGTCGAGAACTGAATGAACGCCACCATAAACGTTCTGAGCGTCATAAAGAAGATCGACATGGTCATAGGCAAAAGCATCACCGCGAACGCAAAGATAGAGAACACCGCGAAAAAGAGCGTTATTACAGAGAGAAGGTAAATTATGAAAATTATGGGTTAGAATATGTAGCTTATCGAGCGTCTGAACGTAAAGAAGAGAAAATGCGTCATTCGGATTTCCGTAAATATCAAGAGAAAAAGGAGAGGGATCCCCACGAACGTTATCCTGAAGAGAAACATCGTCGTGAAAAATCAATGGGGGATAGAACACTACAAGATTTAAGAGAACGATTATTGAGTAAACGAGGAAACAAAGGTGAAGATGAATATAAATATGAAAGGGGCGAGTCCCACCGTGAAAGAAAACCCAAAGAATACGAAAGTTTAGATAGCGCTTTACAAGGTGAGGCAGGAATGTATGTTAAAGAAATAATAAACATAAGCACCGAAGAGAGGCGAAGCAAAAAAGATCGCGAAGAAGATAAATTAACAGAAGAAGAGCGCGCAGAACAAGATATGCGTAGAGAAAAACTTTTAGAGGCAGAGCGCGAAATGGCGCGACAAAAAGAGCAATCGCGCATCGAACGCGAACGTCGTCACATTGAAAAACAAGCCAAAAGAAAATTCGAAGAAGAAACAACCTTAGCTAAGAAACAACGCGTTGAAGAAGCAACCGTCACAGTTTCAGACAATTCCGACGAAGAATACGAAGATATTGAACGCGAAATTGACGACGATGAAGAAGAAGAAGAAGAGGAAGAAGTAAGCGAACGCAGTAGAAGTCGCCAACGAAGTACAAGCGTTGAATCAAACACTAATCAATCATTAAGTAGCCACGAAGAACGTTACGTTTCCGATCATCATCAATCTAAATCAAGGAGTCGATCCCAAAGCTCAGAAAAAGATCGAAATTTGAGTCGATCAAGGTCGAGAACGCGATCACCATCGTTAGATCGTAACGGAAAAGAATTAGCTGTTGATGATAAAGATGATGAGCTCCTTGAAGAAAAAAAAGATGAAACTAATGATGAGGAGAAAAAGCCGAAATTCGATGAGGATTTACCACCGTATTTTCCGGCGATTCAAGGATGTCGGTCTGTTGAGGAATTTCAATGTTTGAATAAAATTGAAGAAGGTACTTATGGGGTTGTTTATCGCGCTAGAGATAAACGCACCGAAGAAATCGTTGCTTTGAAACGGTTAAAAATGGAAAAAGAAAAGGAGGGGTTTCCCATAACATCGTTACGCGAAATTAATACTTTATTGAAAGGTCAACATCCAAACATAGTAACCGTGCGAGAAATAGTCGTTGGAAGTAATATGGATAAAATTTTTATCGTAATGGATTATGTTGAGCACGATTTAAAATCGTTAATGGAAACGATGCGTCATAAAAAGCAAACTTTTACCGCGGGCGAAGTTAAATGTTTATTAAAACAATTATTAGCCGCTGTAGCTCATTTACATGACAATTGGATTTTACATCGCGATTTAAAAACGTCCAATCTGTTATTATCCCATAAAGGAATTTTGAAAGTTGGGGATTTCGGTTTAGCTAGAGAATACGGTTCCCCTTTGAAAGCTTACACCCCCATTGTTGTAACTTTATGGTATCGCGCCCCCGAATTATTATTATGCACCAAAGAATATTCAACACCCATCGACATTTGGTCCGTTGGATGTATATTCGCCGAATTATTATTAATGAACGCATATTTTCCCGGAAAATCCGAAGTTGATCAATTAAACAAAGTTTTTAAGGAACTCGGAACGCCGAGCGAAAAAATTTGGCCGGGATTTAAACAACTTCCGGCGGTTCAAAAAATGAAATTTGCCGAGTTTCCCGTTTCTAATCTTCGAAATCGTTTTAGTATGTTGACCGAATTGGGATTGGGATTACTTTGTAAATTTTTAACGTACGATCCCGTTCAACGAGTTACAGCTGAGGATGCTTTGAAACATGGTTATTTCAATGAAGCTCCACTTCCTATCGATCCTTCCATGTTTCCTACTTGGCCTGCTAAAAGCGAACTTGGACATAGAAGAGCTATGGCAGCTAGTCCAAAACCACCATCTGGTGGAAGAGAATATAAACAATTAGTAAGTGGAAAAACTTATTTAATATGAAAAAAGTACCTTTAATTATGATTTTTTTTTGCAGAGAGCTGATGGTGATGATGATGGATACGGATTTAGGATTGGAATTTCAGCTGCTGATAGTCGAAGATTGGCTATGGGAGGTGGATTTAGTTTGAAGTTTTAATTATATTTATTGTATAAGTTTCAGCAAATAGTTGCTAATTTTGAATATTAATAAAAAAGAAATGATGGTACTAAACACAAAAAATTAGTTTGTTGATACTCTTTACCTTCAGATTAGTAAAACTAGACCTAAAACTAAAAGCATTCTGGTTTAACTGTCTTGAGAGACACATGGCTAAACCGAATGTTTCTAGTTCTTGGCCTAGTGTTAGTTCTAGTGACAGTGGTATTATTATTATTGCTGCTGGGCTGAGGGGAGCGGCCCCTTTGGTTACCGCGACCTATAAAATCTATTGTAACTTTAGCCCTCCACAAGTTTAGAGCAAATGTAGGTCCTTGATGAACCTTAGTATTGCGCTGAGATCTTGAACCTTTATGTCGGTAGGTGTCAAGAGAGTTTTACTTAAACAACCTCTGGCGACGCAATTGCACAGTATATATTCAGGTGTTTCTGACTCGTCGTTGCAAAGTCGACAGGTTTGATCCTCAGCTTATCCAATGTGGAAGAGGTGATATTTTAGGGGCGCATGGCCAGTAAGGTAACCTGAGAGCGTCCTTAAATCCCCTTGCAGAGGCATAAAACCTCTTTGGTTTTGTTTTGCGACGGAGTTATCATACTCTTCGCTTGTCTGTGACCTGGAAGTTCTTTCCAGCGTAAGGCTTCCTTTGAGACCTCCCAACTGTTGATTATTTGTTTTAGGTGGCTTTTTTGTAGTCCACAACGAGGTTGGGGTCTAATAAAGGACGTGTTCGCTGCCTCTCTGGCCAGCTTGTTCGCCTTCTCATTGCCCTCAATGTTGCTGTGACCTTGAACCCACCATAGCAAGTTCTCTCAGGTTGTTGGTACACTTTCTGATCAGTGCGGAATCACACGTGTAAGCCTGAATTGCTCTTAAAGACAAAATTGATATTATTGCAGAAAGTGAAAAGTTCAGTAATAATAATATAATAATAATATATATTTATTGGTGAAACCAAAAAAAAAAATACAATTTACAATTACAAAAGAACATATCAGGTAAAAAAAAATGAATTATATATAAAAAAAAATTTAAGTACTAAACCATAAATAATAAGTGGTTTACCAAAGAAAACCAAGTCAATGCACCTGATGGACTCAGGCGTTATTGTTTTTCATCGGTCCCTTGATCAATATAGAAAATATATATAAACAGAATCCGATCATGCAGTAACACAATAAGGTAAGAAAGAAGTAAAAGTAAAAGAAGAATAAAGGAAGGAGCCGAAAAAGAAATAGAAAAAAATAAATAGAAGAGGAAGGATAAGAAAGAAGGGATAGTTTTATACATACTATATATATATCCCGTCAAGCAAAAGCTTGTTTATCTTAAATCACTGCTGCCGAAGAAGATATGCTTAGTAAAAAAATTTAAAACTACTCTTAGATTTATTGTTAATATCAGTAGGAATGGTATTGATCAAATTAGGTATGCTATATAAAAAACATCGTTCAAAAATTTGCAATCTATGTTGGGGTATAAACAAGGAAGAACGACGACGGATGTTGATGTTATGCACGTCGCAGCGATATCTCAATTTATTTAACAAGTAGGGAGGCTTTTGATTGAAAATAATTCTTCGACACAAACAAGCAGAATGCAATTTACGACGCCGAGACATATTTAACCACCCAACCCAGTTTAAGGTATGGGATATTTTTTCTCGCTTTCGAATGCCAAATATAAAGCGTAAGCATGCATTTTGCACACGTTGAACACGCAACGACTCGGCAACATCTAATACCGCTAGAAAGTTGGCTGAAAAATTTGGAGTTGGAAGGATACAAGTGAACGACATATTAAAAAGTAAATACCACTTTAAAAAGCTGTTTGAAGAAAATTCCAATCTAAAGCAAAAGAGAAAATTTCCTAAAACCGAAGGACTGGCTATTGACCAAATAGTTTACACTTAGTTCTGAAAAGCGAGAAATATAAATATCACCATATCTGGACCTTTATTAAAAGAAATAAATAGCAGTGGAAGCAGCCCAAAATTTGAAATTTAAAACTGTTTGCGGTGAATCAGCTGATGTCGACCTGATGAGTGTTAAAGTCTGGAAAACAAAGTTGAAATAATTGATATTGAAGAACTACTTACCAAAAGATGTGTACAATAAACTGGCGATAAATGTACGGGTAAAAAAAAAACGCAAACAGAAAATGACAATTTTATTTTGCGCAAACATGGAAGGAGGAGACAAGGAGGATTCGTTAATCATCAAGAAAAGTAAAAACCCTTGTTGCTTTAAAGGATCGCACATCAACAAACTTCCTTTAAATTGGGAGTGTAATAAAATAACAACAGAGCTTATGACTTCGTGGCTAAAACAATTTGATGAAAAGATGAGAAAGCAAAATAGAAAAGTACTCTTATTTCTGGATAACCCCACGTCCTATTTGATAAGAAAAGGAAACAATTTCCATTTTTGTCAAGACCTTGTTTACAAGTCCTAGTTTTATATTAAAATTGCGTGATACATCCATAACCTCAAATCTCGTCCCAATTAAATGAACATCATTCCCTTGATGTTATTAGTAATATAAAGTTAAATTAATGTTCCAATTCCTCTCCAACCATATTAACGTTAAACCTTCTGATGATGGCCTAATAAGCCGAAACATGTAAAGGAAATATTTAAATTAATACATCGATTAACAGTAAAATAGAAAGTAATATTTATTCAATTTACCTAGTTTTATATGTAACAGATGCAAAATTATACGATTCCTTGATACTAAAGGTGGATTTATCACGTTCTGTTGTCCTACAACTAGAGCTTCCTGAGGAGGCCAACCTTTTTTAATCCAATGTTGATATTTAGCTCTACTGTCCCATAAGCAAAGAAAACCGGGATATTTTGTATAACCACCTTGTTGGCCTAAAAGAAAGTTGACCATTTTTAAATCAACACATATGAGCAAATTATGTTCCACATATTTATTTTTTTCTAAAATCAGAGCAATAGTTGTATATGCTTCTTTTACATTTGTAATAGGAATGTGCAATACGCAACGACCCTAATTTATTCCCATTGTGTAAAAGAACACATTTTAGACTACATTTTGATGAGTATGAATAGACGCCACTCATTAGAAACGTAATTTTGAAGTCCCATTGCAGCCATTAAACCAGGTACATCTTTACAAAATACCAAATCATTTTCTTCAGCAAAATATTTGAGATTTTTTTTTGTTTTAGCCTAAATTTCTGAAGCAGCCTTCCAGATCTCTGACAAGGTCGTTTAAATCATCTTGGTTGAATAGTTTTGTCGCTTTCAGGTCATATTTAAAGTTAATATCACAACTGTCAGTTTTCGCCTCAAAATGCATAGGCTACTCCTGTGAAGCATCAGCTTGAGGTTCAAGTGATATTTTAGGACTCAAAACACGTCTATGTGCCATTTTTGGCTCGATTTTTTCGGTTAATGCCAGTTATGGTCACCAAATAAAAATAACAGTCGTCGTGGTTGTTCAAGGGTTCAGTCCAGATACTCCTTTTCTTATTTATCCACAAACGTAGAAACTCAACGCACGTTTTGCATAAAAATCGCGGAATCCAAGACTTGTCTTTCATTTCTAGTCAAAGTAATTTTTGTAATCACGAACGCTGTCACATTCAAACGGTATTCTTTAGCCGTCTTGTTTAATAACAATGGCTGTAAAAGCTTTCATACTTATTAAAAATCTCCAGATTCATTAACTATAAATATACTGCTGTAACATGATTTTAATGTACCTAATAAGTTGCATGTTTAAACAAAACAAACTTTTCCATGTTAAATTTATTTCTCTTAACTTAATAATAAAAAAATAACATTAATATAACATATAATATACGGAATGTTTATTTATATTCATATCGAAAATATGTAAGACAACAAGCTTAAAAATCTCATTTTAAATCTGGTCAGCAGATATCAAGGGAACTTTCCATGCTTTTATAATACATCAACGAATAACAAATAGAACAGTCGAAAGAACGCCAGGTTATCTATTACAATTGCTTGTTTTTTCTATAATGGCAAAAACCTAAAACTACTGAGTCGACCTGAAATCACTGGTTAATAGTGTCTGATCCTCTTTCTTTATTGCAACATGATCACAATGTCCTCAATTTTCTTTTTTTTATTAGATTATTATATTAAATTTGTATTATTGTATTTTAATATTCATTTTTTTTGTGTTTTCTTTATTAATTTAAACATAACAATTAATCTTGAATGTTTTTTTAAATATAATATTGTGTATAATATATGCTAAAACTTTATGCTTAGATATTAAGTTTTTCTTTCGTTTGTTGAACAATGATATATATCTTAACCATTATCTATACTGTTGGTGAGACTTCCTAAAATTGTACCCAATTGGCGTTCGATGGTGAAGATTGATTAGGCACACTGTTTAAAAAGTACATATAAAGTAATGGCAATAACTTTATGTAATATTTACTTTGAAGGTGCTGATGTAAAATCGCCCCATGATTCAGCTACAGCTTCCGGTTTGGGTACATGAGCTGGAGAACCTGCTGGCGAACTTCCCGGTGGTGCTGGTAATCGACTTCCTCCAGGTGGAGGTGGAAGTAAACCTAAACCACCGGTGGTTCTTGTTTTTGATTTATTAGTTGTCGAATCTGACCCATCTTTCTTCTTTAAACCAATTAAAAAAAGTGTTAAATTGGACACAATATAAATTATTAAAAAAAGATCTTACAGTAATTTTCATATTAATTTTAATAGTTTCACCCTCTTTAAATCTAAGATCCAGCTCTGGTTGGGTTGGTTCTGAAGAAATTTGCTGCTCCTTTTTTTTCCATTTGAAATGATCTTGTAAAGCTACATTGAGATCAAAAGAATCAGATCTATCCCCAAATCCTATCCCAATAAACGCAGATCGACCTAAAAATTCAACCCATTAAACAAAAAATTATTTCTTTTAAAATTTATTTACCGCTATCATCTTGAACTCTTAAAACAAAGTATCTGGATGAATCACTAACAGATTCGATAGCGACCCCGGGATATGTATCAATGGGACATCTAGCATACAATTCTCCACTGTTTTTATCTTCCAATTTAATATAACACTCTTCACCTTTAGCGATTAGTCGTAATCGACCTGTCCATGTTGGTTCGGCTAAATTCCAATCGGCCGCTCTTAAAATAAGAACGGCATTGAGTTTTTTACAACCGGATGGGTGTTTCGATAAAATTGGGGGGCGTATTTTGATAAAACAACGATAACAGATTGCTCGTTTCTTGTTGGGATTTAAATCGATTTTTTTCTCTTAACCCTAAAATTACCTGTAGCCACGATTAGACGTCCTTGGCGGTATATTAAAGACGAATACTTCGTGTTTTACGAGTATAACACTTTCGTAAGTATCCATTCTCTTTTATATTCCGTAAACTGAACAATAAACAACAAAAACCGAACTGACAGTTTTGACGATTCAGTACTTGAATTGCTTACGTCAAATTTCAAGGTGGTAACTGTTAAAGTCAAAAAGTAACTAAACTTTTTAAGATGCGTTCAAGGTCCGTTGAGTAAATATACAGTGTATTTCACTTAAGAAGCAATATACAAAAATACACAAAAAAAAAATTAAAATATAAAGCGAAATATTAACGGTTATAATTTTATTATTGTTAGGTTATCCAACTTGACTCGGTTACCATGGTGATTAAGATCCAAATGTTGCTTGTCAAAATTGAATTTAAGTTTTTTAAGAATAAAGTCTTATTTAATTGGTTTAAAAGGCTGTATTTATTTCTCTTAATTAGAATCGATTTAAATTAACGAATTTTTTATGAATACGAGATAATTGATAAAAAATCGGAATCAAATTTTATTACTTTAAAGTTATCCAACTTGACTCGGTTACCATGGTGATTAATATCCAAATATTGCTCTTACTTGTCAAAATTGACGTTGAATTTAAGTTATTTTAATGAAAAACACATAATTAATTGGATTTAAAGGTTGTATTTAATTCAAAATGGGTAAATGGATGAAATTATAAGCAAGGTAAGTGGATTAGATCAAAAAAAATTTTTAGATCAATTAAAATGTACAAGAATAACAATTAAAACTAGACCTAGAACTAGAAACAGTCGGGTTTAGTCGCGAAAAAACTTTCAGTTGTCAATGTCATCTTTAATTTTATTATTATATTCGTCATCTTCATAAAATGACCTTTAAAGTGAGTCCAAACTTGACGCATTTATCTCAAAAATCCAAAAAGTTCGAACTTTTAATTTTGACAGATTTGTCAACTTCATAAAAAATCCTTTAAAATGAGTCTAAACTCGACATATTTAACTTTAATATTAATGGAAATACAATTACTTCCGGTTTGAAACGTCAACGTCAAATTTGACATATTTGTCATTTTCATTTAAAAAGCTTTAAAATGAGTCCAAAGATGACGCACTTATCTCAAAAAACAAGAAAGTTAGAATAAAAAACGTTGAACCCGAAGTTAGCAATTTAAGTATTAAATATTAATACCAACCTTAATTTTTAATTCTTTTTATTGTATTTTTGTTTTTGTGATAAATTTTAAGACATTTTATAAAAATTAAGAATTTATCAAAATGACATTGACATTTCAAAACGGAAGTTGCTTATATCTCGAGTAATATTGAAATTAAACGTACCATGTTTGGGCTCATTTTAAAGGATTTTTCACGACAATTACAAAAATGTCAAAATTGACGTTGACAATCACTTCCGGTTTGAAACATCAACGTCAATTTTGACATATTTGTCATTTTCATTAAAAAAAACCTTTAAAATGAGTCCAAAGATGACGCACTTATCTCAAAAAACAAGAAAGTTAGAATAAAAAACGTTAAACCCGAAGTTAGCAACAATGAAGATAGCGATTTAATTATTAAATATTAATACCAACCTTAATTTTTAATTCTTTTTATTGCATTTTTGTTTTTGTGATAAATTTTAAAGACATTTTATAAAAATTAAGAATTTATCAAAATGACATTGACATTTCAAAACGGAAGTTGCTTATATCTCGGGTAATATTGGAATTAAACGTATCATGTTTGGGCTCATTTTAAAGGATTTTTCACGACAATTACAAATATGTCAAAATTGACGTTGACATTTCTAATCGGAAGTTGACCATAACTTCATTAATATTGAAGATAAATATGTCGTGTTTGTACTCATTTTAAAGGATTTGTAATGAAGATTACAAATATGTCAAAATTGAGGTTGGCATTTTAAATTTGAAGTTAGTTATCCTATAATAGACAAGTGAACAACTTCATGGTAAGTGTAATAATAAAATTCACTAAAGAATCACCCCTTGACGTTTGTTGCAGTCATTCAAATACACTCTGTATACTATATTCCATACATAATGGGCATCCTACCTGTATATTATATTATACTTTTCCTCCAATGACGTCACGTTTCCTTCCTCACCCCGTCAACGTCAATTTGCTCAAGTTAGATAACCTAATCAATACACAATGGACCTTGGGAAGCGTTCTGAATGACACTAAAACGAGTATTTTCTGAATTATATTTTATTTTTTGAAAACATATTTTAATATAAAGCGAGGATAAACCCAAAAATTAATTATATATTAGCAATATAATTAATAGATTTATTTACAATTGGAAATACCCAACCAATTTTCGACAACTCACACAAAAAACGCGAAAAAGATGTGATTAAATAAAAAAAAATAGTTTTTACGTAAATATAAGGAATGTAAAAACACTTCAAGAAGACAAAAAATATTTATAAAGTACACATGTACCTATGACTAATTTTTTGTACACAATTTTACCCTAAAAGTTACCAAAACAAACAAAAAAAAATCACCATAGGAGACAAATGATCAACCTAGTGACCTAATGATAAAAAGACGATGGAGATATGAATAAGAAGTTAAAAGGGATATCGTCGGTTGTACGGGCTTTATTGTATTAGTTACGCAAATATTAACCAAGCGACGAAAATAATTGCCAACCATAAGAAAAGTTTCGACAGGAACTGTTCCTCAATGTGATTCGGGGTGCCCAATGGCGCAGCGCTCGGTCTTACATCTCCTATATTGAACATTGACGTAAAAAAGCCAAATGGAAATACTCCTATACCAAACGACATGTGGAATCCATTATCGCCCAATCCAAATGCTTAAAAAACAAATAATTTTAATTAATGATTTATTATTTTGAGTTTTATTTCTTATTGTTAACTTTATAACATTAATTTATATCTTATAACTTTTTATTTCTATTTGTTTAATAGGCAAATATAAATATATTATTTTATACAATAAAATGAAGAGACTTCTCATTCAACACTTCTTTTAAAATTCATTAAAGTTGGAATTATCACTTAAAGTATAATATTCTCTTAGAAGTTTTATCATTAACATAAATTTAAGAATGATGATGATTATTTGAAAAGCTTGAAACAAACAAAAAAAAGATTGATGAAATTTAAATTTTCCAAGTGAAATAATTAAATAATACACTTTATTATACCTGAATAATTTCCACCTGACTCAGGTTCAGATCTTTGTCCAGACGGACGTGGTGGATGCTTTTCTCTAGGATCTTGTTGATTACCACTACCACGTCCATACAATGGCACAACCTTTTCCCTACTAATTCCAGCTTTACAAACGGGACAAACTTGATTATAAGGCTTTGTCTCTAACCATTGATGTAAACAGGGCCAACTAAAACATATAAAAAAAAATAAACAATCTCCACTTTAACTATCATTGAAGATGTAAGGTTACCATTTAAAAGGGTACTAACCAAAATAAATGACCACACATACTAACTACAGCATCCCTTGCAGTATCTAAACAAATATTGCACTCAAACGTTTTCTCCTCTTTCTTCTCGTCACCCTGTGATGAACCGCTTGCCTCATCTTTACTTGGAAAATCGTTGTTTTTTTGCCCAGCTTGGGTTGTCTCCTTAATATCTGCGTTTTCGTTCATAATCCCGTATTAAAAGTAATTATAATGGGAATTTAAAACGTTACGAGGACGTTGAGTAAACGCGTGACCACCCCGAACTTACTTCTAAACGATTAAGACGATTATGACGTTTATCAACGACGATGACGATTATCCAAACTGCGAAAAAAAATTAAACGAAATTTTGCATTTATTATAAAGAAATACTTGACAATTTCGATGACAGTTGTCAAATTAATTTTGGAGGTGTCACCTTTCGCCTTCTTCGATTCCTAAAATTTTATTTCCACCAACAACGATTATCACAGTTGTACTAATCAGATAATCAGGTGATACTCTTTTATGACGTAAATACGGTAAATACGCAACATATAGTAAGCAAGAAATGTAAAAATTACGTGGTTTTTATCGCAATCTGTCAACAGAACGAAAAGACTTATGTGTAGTTGTTTTGTTGATGTTTTGGTGACATCTATGAATTAAAATTGGAACCTTAATTTAATAAATGTCAATTTTAACATAAATTTAATAATATTGTAATAATTATAATAATACGATTATTATTTTATGATTTTTTTTATCAATCAACTTTCTATTTTATTTGTAAATATAATGTTAGTGATAACTAAAAAAAAATTTGATTAAGTAGTTACAACAGAATTTTAATAGATGTCACTATTAAATTTGAAAAATTTTATTAAATTTATTAATTAATTTTATTGTCATTTATTCGTGTAATAAACACTGCATATAAAATTATTTAATAAAATTTAATTCTAAAAGAGGGCCTTTAGTTACATTCATCTACTTTTTAATTTAACTCGTATTGATCAAACTAACTCCGTAACAGCGAAATGAATTAAATAATTTTATTTGTGTTAATTACAAGAAAATCGAGTTGACATTAAAAACAAAAATGGCAAAAAACGGTCATAATAACTCATTAATTCCTGTTAAAGTCAAAAATGAGCAACCGAAAAGTATCGAGATCATCACCGCTTACTCTTCGAACGGAAGTTTCACTTCCAAAGAAATCTGCGAAGCCTAAATCGATTTTAAAGGAGTCTAAAAAGACTCAAAAAACTCTTTATCCAGTTTATTACAATGGAGAGTTGGTAACACCTAAACCGTTAAATCCCCTAATTTACCGCGAAGGCAAAGAACGACAGATAAGTATATTAAATATAGCAGATAATGCGATTACTACCACGTTTAGTAGTAAATCAAAGTCTAGTATTTTTGGATCGTTTTCGGAGACTTCTTCGAAACTTCATACGGAAACTTTGGCTAATATGGGTTCGACGAATCTTTATACAAGTACAAATATCGATATAGCACTTTTAGAACCGCTAGTTGACAACGATACGTTATCGATTGAGGGAAGTGTGGTGATTGCGCCTCCGCCCCGATTAGAACCAATGCCTTCAAAAGTAAGTTTAACCCTGGTGGAGACCCCAACCATTTTTCTTTTCGAATTAAGTAGTAGTACGGCTGAAGCAGACACGGTCGAAGGTGATTTAGTCGAATCCGACAACAAAATGTACGAATACTTAACAGTGGGAAAAGGAAGAAATCGCAAAGTGGTTTGTGCCGAAGTTCAAACAATCCCTGTTTTGCTAAAAACCCGAGATACAACTGCAGTTAGGTACAGAACTAAAAGTGATTATGCTTACGCTTCCGGTTGGGATATGTACGACACTTATAACGAGGTCAAAGACGAAGATGAGGAAAATAACATTCCATTAGCTGCGAAAGAGAGTGTGCAGGTTTCTATAGATAGTTTTCAAGTTCCATCTGAAGAAAAGCAAATGATGGCATTAGTTAAAACGCCGGAATTTCTAAACGCTCTTTGTGTCGTTGAAAGATTATTGGCGAATAACAATTTTAATGCGCAACAGAAAAGATTTCGGGGATTAAGCGATCCGGATCCATTTCGAGAAAAAATCGAATATAAATATGAATTGAATTTATTGTGGACTTTTGCAAATGAAAAAACCGCGGGGAGATGCGCCACTACGATGTGTTGGAATCCTTCGAATCAAGATATTTTAGCTGTTGGGTATGGAAAGTTTTATTACTCCGAACGCACCACGGGATTGGTGATGATTTGGAATATAAAAAATCCGGTGCAACCTGAAAGAACGTACAATTTTTCCGAACCTGTTACAGCTGTAGATTTCTCAAAGCAACATCCAAATGTTTTGGCAATTGGGTTTTATGATGGCACAATTAAAGTGATTGAAATTTCTGATCACGAGTTAATGGTATTAGGGGAAAGTAGCCGAGAAGATAGTCCCATATTCGAACCAATTTGGCAATTAACTTGGTATACAGATCAAGATTACTACAAAGGTATTGAATTTTTAATGGTTGCGAGTCAAGATGGTCGACTTAGTAGATTTACACTTGAACAAGCTTCTTATATGCCATATTTTCATTTGATGAGAGTCTCACGAGCTGAAGGAAGAATAAAAGGGTTAAAATCAACGCGAAAATGCGTTATTCCCGGAATTCCAATCGCGAGACATCCCGCCTCTTTAGTTATGACGGAACATCCCATAAATCCAAATATTTATTACGTCGGAACATCCGAAGGGGTCATCCATAAATGTTCAAAAAATTATTACCATCAACACTTAGATTTATTCTTAGGCCACGAAGGTCCGATATATCAATTTAAATTTTCCCCATTTTGTAATAAAGTTTTTTTAACGTGCGGAGATGACTGGGTCGTTAGAATCTGGGCAGAAGGGATTTCAACGCCACTTTTGGAACTTGGTAAAACAATGCTATCCGTGCAAGGTGCCGATTGGTGTCCAGCTTTTTCAACGATAATCGCCAGCATAACCGGAAACGACATTTTTTTGTGGGATTTACAAAGAAAAGTTTACGCGCCCCAATCCGTAACAAAATCGCCTACGAAAGCTCGGTGTACTTTGGTTGAATTTACACAAAGCGGAAGGTGCCTGGTCGTTGGAGATATTGAAGGAAATATTATGATTTTTTCGTTGGAGGATATGCCATTTCAAGCGTTTTATCAAGATAAGTTGCTTACGCAAGCTATTAAAAGGGAGTTGGTTATCGTTCCTGAGTTGGCAAGAAAAGTGGAAAAATTGGATGGATTGTCTTATAAACGTGAAAAGTCTACCAAAAATTTTCAATAATAAATTACACATTTTATTATGAAACAAAAAAGTGACTAAGTTTGGTTTAGAAGAGGTTGTATTGGGAAACATTTTTATTAATAAACAAATATATATTTTTTTAGTGTTTTTATTTAAAAAATAAATCGTAAAGGATTAAATTAAGTACAAAAAGGTGGTTTGTGTTGTGTAAGTTGCTACAAGACACTGTGTTCTTATAATTCAAAAATAAATGTAATAAATTAATAAATGAGAGGTTAAATTAGTTCATACAGAGTGAGCAAAAAAATCTACAGTGTGATGTTAGCGTCTTCATTGCATTTAAAACTAGTTCAAATAATAAATTACAATGATCTTTGGATAAAACGAACCCATTTTTAATTAATTTTTGGTTATAACCACCATCACTGTAATTTTACCTTTACTTAATTATGTCTGAAGAAATTGATTCGAATCAATTCCAATTGATGAGAAGAGTGAAATTTAACGCAACTTATCTCTATACTAATTGTAAGTTAGAAACTGACAATTTCGAATGTAGGATTGAACAAAATAATTTTACTGTCATATACCAGATTTTAATGCGACTTGGTACTTGATGCGACTAGTAATAAAATATTCAATTGTTCTGCCATATAATTTACGACTTTAGAGAAAATAAAATGTACAGGGTGGGCAAATTTGGGTGTTATTATAGGCTATCTCAGAAAGTATAAGAGATACGAAAAAAGTAAGTGCCATGTCCCGGTCTCTTTTTTCGAGACTAATCCAATCCCGCAAACACCAAACCTCTATCTTCTTTTGTTTTCAAGTTATAGCCAAAAAGTCAAATTTTCGTGATTTCAAAAAATGCTCATATTTCGTTTATTTTTGAAATTAGAGAAATGGGGTTGGTACGTTTTTAAGACACTTTTTTAAGTAGAATACACTGCCGTTGAAAAATTTTAAACATAGTTGATGATTTTTGAGATATAACACAAAGTTGTGTTTTTTTAGCATACTTGAGTCTACTTTTAGCTTTCCAATGGTGTATTTGGAGAAAATAAGTGTTAATTTTCAATTCTAAAATAGTAAGCGCTATGGTTCATAATTTTGATTATAATAGGCGGATCCGGACTGTAAATACTACCTAGTGGCTATAATATATGGTTTTGCGCGAATATGACAGAATAATGTTGGTTTTATATCATTATTCAGGATAAAGTTGGTTTTGTACCAACGAATAAAAACTTTGAATAGTTAATTTAAATTTCTCTTATCCCTGATTTTGTTCACCAATAGAAAATGGTTAGCAAGTAAAGCTTGTTTATTAAAAATACAAGAAATGTATTAATTAATGAATAATTAAATATGGACAACTTCAGGAACTAAACAGTCACAAACTGTCATCTTCTTCTACTAAACTTAGTGGTTGTAAGGTTCGGAATCAATGAATGAAATCTTCGGTAGCATTTTCCCAGTTTTCCTCAAACATAAGATTTAGAAGTTTTTTGATATCAGCAATCTTTTCTTTTGAAATTGGATGAGAAAGAGGAAAATTAGGAGTCATAAAGCGTGCGATACATCATTGGAAAGCTAAAAATATGCTCTTTTCATTAACATCATAATCAAGTATAGTTTGTATTTAAAAAAAATATTATGTTATATCTCAAAAATTATCAGCTATGTTTAAAATTTTTGAACGACAGTATATTCTACTCAAAAAAGTGCCTGTAGAATATAATTCTCTAATTTCAAAAATAAACGATATATCAGCATTTTTTGAAATCGCTAAAATTTGGCTAAAACTGAAAAACAAAAGAAGATAGAGATTTGGTCTTTGTGGGATTGGATTAGTCTCGAAAAAAGAGACCGAGACATGGCACCTACTTGTTTCGTATCTCTTATAGTTTCTGAGATAAGCCTATAATAACACCCAAATTTGCACACCCTGTACATGTTAAGAGATACCTCAAGATCTTTTATACAGCGCATTAATGTTTGTAAAACAGAAAATGGGCGGCATTTTGAACAACTTCTAAATATTAATTAAATAAATATGTACCTATTTGTTGATTAACGTTTAGTAATTTTGTAATTGCTGCATTTTAATATAATATTGATTTACAAATGACAAACAAAAAAAAGTTACAAAAAAAGGACAGAATATATTACATTCTGTCAATTTTTTAAATACAATAATGACATTTTATTACACATTTTTCTTTAAATTCTAAATATCAGGAAAACTATTAAAGTTATATGACATACTTATCATTAATTAAAGGGAACTTGATCAGCAATTCAATTAGCATACAATATACAGAGTGTTCCATTTAAAAAACTTAAGTAAAAGCCATTTGAAAAACATTAAAAGTAACTGAGCATTTTAAACACATCCTGTATCTAATATTTTTGATTACTATCATCTATCTACTGGCTTTGACTATTGTCTGACGTGATTTCAAGGCAAAATCAGAAAAAAATGTCTTTTTTATATCGTTTTCAAAAAGATCCTGTAATAGGCACATTTTGAATATCTCAGGAAGTATCAACACTGTGAAATAGTAACATATACGGTTGTATAAACAAATTTAGTTGTATTCATAATATGATAAAACATACAGGTGTATACCATTTAAATAAATTTACGTAGTTTCCGTTACGTTTAAATGGAACAACTTGTATAAGTGAAAATAATTTTACGTAATGGGCACGGAACTTTTATAACAAAACGATACTATTCCCCCCCTCCACTTCTTCTGATTAAAAGAACAGCATACTGTTCAGTGGGAAATTAAAATTTCAAGTTAGAAAAAAATTGTGTTAACAAAAATTGTTCCTGAAACAATTCTTAACAAATATTGTTAACAAAATTTTTTGATTTAATCAATAATTAAGGAGATAACCTCAAAATATTAATTTTTCCATTTTTATACATAATTACACTTAGACGCTTAATTAATAGAGATGTAAAATTTTGTTATTAAGATAATTGATTAAAAATCGAAATTGAAACAAATTTTATTTAAAACATTTTTTGATAAAAACAATAATTATTGAGATAATTAATTTTGATAGCATACTATTCAGAGGGAAATTAAAATTTCAAGTTAGCAAAAAATTGTATTAACAAACACTGTTCCTGAAGTAATTCTAAACAAATTTTGTTAACAACATTTTTTGATTAAATCAACAATAAGGATATAACCTCAAAAATATTAATTTTTGTAGCATACTGTTCAGTGGGAAATTAAAATTTCAAGTTAGAAAAAAATTGTGTTAACAAAAATTGTTCCTGAAACAATTCTAAACAAACTTTGTCAACAATTTTTTTTGATTTAATCAATAATTAAGGAGATAACCTCAAAATAATAATTTTTCCGTTTTTATACATAATTATACTTAGATGCTTAATTAATAGAGATGTAAAAATTTTTTATTAAGATAATTGATTCAAAATCGAAATTGAAACAAATTTTATTTAAAACATTTTTTGATAAAAACAATAATTATTGAGATAATTAATTTTGATAGCATACTATTCAGAGGGAAATTAAAATTTCAAGTTAGCAAAAAATTGTATTAACAAACACTGTTCCTGAAGTAATTCTAAACAAATTTTGTTAACAACATTTTTTGATTAAATCAACAATAAGGATATAACCTCAAAAATATTAATTTTTGTAGCATACTGTTCAGTGGGAAATTAAAATTTCAAGTTAGAAAAAAATTGTGTTAACAAAAATTGTTCCTGAAACAATTCTAAACAAACTTTGTCAACAATTTTTTTTGATTTAATCAATAATTAAGGAGATAACCTCAAAATAATAATTTTTCCATTTTTATACATAATTACACTTAGATGCTTAATTAATAGAGATGTAAAATTTTTTTATTAAGATAATTGATTCAAAATCGAAATTGAAACAAATTTTATTTAAAACATTTTTTGATAAAAACAATAATTATTGAGATAATTAATTTTGATAGCATACTATTCAGAGGGAAATTAAAATTTCAAGTTAGCAAAAAATTGTATTAACAAACACTGTTCCTGAAGTAATTCTAAACAAATATTGTTAATAAAAATTTTTGATTTAATCAATAATTAAGAATATAAGCGCAACAAAATTTTAATATATATATTTTTTATTGAGAAAATCGTTCTAGAATTTAATTTAGAACAACTTTTGTATGAAATTTTCTGCTGAGAACGAGTGGAGGGGAATACTAATAACTAATAACTCACCCTGTATATTTTTTTAGTGTTTTTATTTAAAAAATAAATCGTAAACGATTAAATTAAGTACAAAAATGTGGTTTGTGTTGTGTAAGTTGCTACAAGGCACTGTGTTCTTATAATTCAAAAATAAATGCAATAAATTAATTAATGAGAGGTTAAATCAGTTCATACAGAGTGAGCAAAAAAATCCACAGTGTGATGTTAGAGTCTAATCTTATTTTATGCTTTTCTTTCCAATCCTTCATTTAATCAAGCATTTAAAACGAGTTCATAAATAATAAATTACAATGATCTTTGGATAAAACGAACCCGTTTTTAATTAATTTTTGGTTATAATCACTGTAATTTTATTTTTAATTAATTATGAGTGAAGAAATTGATTCGAATCAATTCTAATTCATGAGAGGAGTGAAAGAATTTTTTTTTGAACATTAAAAACATTAAAAAAAACTAATTTAACCCCTTAAAATAAATGTAAAGTGGAACGAAGATGAAAAAATACATCAATACAAAAATACTTATGCGTTCTTTTCAGTCTTTTCCGTTAACTTTGAAACAATTATTGCTCTGCGTTTCCTTCATTTTCATTTCAAAACGATTTTAAGTTTTATTTCCTCATTTTCTTCAAAACAAAAAAGTAACTATCGTTTACGTTCGTCGAAAAAGCGTATCTTTTCGTAGACAAAAACTTTTTCAAAATATCTTTTTCAATATCTTTGTTCATGTGAACATTAATAACTTGAACATCCACCCTATCAAAGGGCAAAGTTTCCAAAATTTGCAACTCAGTACCGCCCGTTTTCAAAGTCAAATAATCAATTTTAGTTGAGTTCATGGCCAATAATAGTGAGTAAAGTGGGAAGCATTTAACGCGCGTGTTAAATATATCCGTGTCTTCTATAATTGAATTCGCATGTATGCTGTTTATTTTAACACCATCTCTATCTTCATGATGGTAAGAGACTTCTTTAGGATACGGGGATGGGCTTAAACAACCATGAACAGCTTGTGAGTTTTTACGATCATGCTTTTTAAGACTAAAATAATGTCTTGGGTCGGGTTGAATTAATAAACCATTCCAATCAAGTTTTTTTTCTAAATATAGTGTTTCTGAGGTTTTACCATCATTATAAGCTCCTGCTTCTACGAAAACACCGTTTTTCTGTTATAAAAAAAAACTTTTAAACATAAATCTGATTTAAAATAATTAATCAAACCTTATTTTTTAATAATTTTAAAAGATAACCTATTTCTTCATTTGGTTCATCTAAAACAATATCATTAGGTTCTGTTTGTGTTTCTTTAACTGGTTGTAGATGCATTTGTCTAATATAAGCAATCAATTGGGGATTGTCTTGAGTAACTTCCAACAATTCATAATCCTTACTCATATTAACTTGAAACTGGTAATGTCTCATCGCTAAAATAAATATAAGCCTCACCATGTTGAATTTAAACTTGATTTAATCTCTATTTTACCTGCATTTCTCATATAAATATACAAAACGACCAAAACAGTTACAAAACCCATGAAAAAAGCAAATATAGGCATCAACCTCTTAAACATTGTTGGATTAAAAATGAAACTAGACATTTTTGTGGGTGTCTGAGGTGGTATCACTGTGGGTTGTACATTTTCTCTTCCGCTTATTGTTGTTGGGAACGTCATTTTTCATCCCCTTAAATAAATTTATTTTGTAATACATAAAAAGTAAACAAAGAATACAGTAAAACTAACCTCAAAAGTCGAAGTGTTCTCCCACGAAGATTTGGTATTAAAAAAACATGTTCTAACGCGATTAGAAGTACTAGGGCAAATGAATTCGTCTACCAATTGCTACTGCTAAGACCATTATGCAGGTGTGACACACACACACAGGAGAGGTAGAGCGGTTTCTTAAAAGTAAAGGCGACGATCGAAGGTATACGAAGGATTATGGCTCTTATTGCATGGGGATATAAAGATTCGGTTTGAGGAGAGAGAGTAGGTATAGTGTCTAGGCTTCCACCTCCCTGGGAGTGTTGGGACAATGGGTCTTTTTTAAAAATTAAGATAAAAGGTAAAAGTTTATGGTAAATTTCCTGTTTGTGAAAATACCAATTGAATTCTACACTTAACGTAATTATTTATGCACAAGAATTTTGGACTGCTGCTTACAACCAATAATTAACAACTTGTTATTTCAATATTTATATTAGTTTTTTAATAAAATGCATTTGGTATGAAATTTTGGTCGCGAAATAGTGTTACTTCAAAATAATTATTTGCAATAAATATACAATTTTATTTATTGCCAAATAACTTTATCTTTTATTATTAACCGGATGATGTCAATAAAAAAAGAAGAAGCCAAGAAATTCAATGTGATTTCAAGCATCTCGTCACATTTCTTAAGTTTTGGAGTCAGGAATTACTCGCAAACACAATCTGTACTCTTCTACATCTTCTAAAGCAAGTTCCCTTGACCGAAGAATGACTCCAAGATGGGTGTCTTAAGATTGTCTTAGCATTTGCCTCTTAGGCATATTATTGCCTGCAATGTGGTAAATATGGTGTTTATTTATTAAAAATGAGTGATGCAAGCTCTTCTAGAGTTAAGAACCTAGAAACACCTTTAACCCTTTGTGCCACAAGAAGTCAAAAATTTTGAAACTTTGTGACAGAATTAAAACGTTATCAAAATACACTCAGTAAAGGCTTTTGGAATCAATTTTAGCAAAATATACAATCCCCCCATTCCAGGGGGATAATGGTATTTGAGAGTACCATCAGAGATTAAAATATATTTTAGTGATGTAAACAAAAACTTTTATTGCTTATATTTAAAACATATTGAGCAAAAACTAACATTTTCGTATAACCTAAAAATGTCAAAAAGGATGCTAATTTAAAAATTCCTGGATGCCGTATTTATTGAAATTAAGGAATGAAACTTATTCTAAATTAAAGCTCAATGCTTTCTCTTTAAAATGATGTATAATAATGGTTATGTTGAATCACAAAAATGTGTAGAAAAAAAATGTTGAAATTAAACCTACATTTTGGTATAACCTAAAAATGTCAGAAAACATGCTAATTTAAAAATTCCTGGAAGCTGTGTTTATTGAAATTAAGGAACGACATTTATTCTAAATTAAAGCTCAAAGCTTTCTCTTTAAAACGATGTATAATAATTGTTGGGTTGGATTGGAAAAATATTGAGAAAAAAAATGTTGAAACAAAACTTACATTTTCGTATAACCTAAAAGTGTCAAAAAAGATGCTAATTTAAAAATTCCTGGAAGCCGTATTTATTGAAATTAAGGAATGAAACTTATTTTAAATTAAAGCTCAAAGCTTTCTCTTTAAAATGATGTATAATAATTGTTGGGTTGGATTGGAAAAATATTGAGAAAAAAAATGTTGAAACAAAACTTACATTTTCGTATAACCTAAAAGTGTCAAAAAAGATGCTAATTTAAAAATTCCTGGAAGCCGTATTTATTGAAATTAAGGAATGAAACTTATTTTAAATTAAAGCTCAAAGCTTTCTCTTTAAAATGATGTATAATAATTGTTGGGTTGGATTGGAAAAATATTGAGAAAAAAAATGTTGAAACAAAACTTACATTTTCGTATAACCTAAAAGTGTCAAAAAAGATGCTAATTTAAAAATTCCTGGAAGCCGTATTTATTGAAATTAAGGAATGAAACTTATTTTAAATTAAAGCTCAAAGCTTTCTCTTTAAAATGATGTATAATAATTGTTGGGTTGGATTGGAAAAATATTGAGAAAAAAAATGTTGAAACAAAACTTACATTTTCGTATAACCTAAAAGTGTCAAAAAAGATGCTAATTTAAAAATTCCTGGAAGCCGTATTTATTGAAATTAAGGAATGAAACTTATTTTAAATTAAAGCTCAAAGCTTTCTCTTTAAAATGATGTATAATAATTGTTGGGTTGGATTGGAAAAATATTGAGAAAAAAAATGTTGAAACAAAACTTACATTTTCGTATAACCTAAAAGTGTCAAAAAAGATGCTAATTTAAAAATTCCTGGAAGCCGTATTTATTGAAATTAAGGAATGAAACTTATTTTAAATTAAAGCTCAAAGCTTTCTCTTTAAAATGATGTATAATAATTGTTGGGTTGGATTGGAAAAATATTGAGAAAAAAAATGTTGAAACAAAACTTACATTTTCGTATAACATAAAAGTGTCAAAAAAGATGCTAATTTAAAAATTCCTGGAAGCCGTATTTATAGAAAGTAAGGAATGAAACTTATTCTAAATTAAAGCTCAAAGCTTTCTCTTTAAAATGATGTATAATAATTTTTGGGTTGGATTGGAAAAATATTAAGAAAAAAAATGTTGAAACAAAACCTAAAAGTGTAAAAAAATATGCTAATTTAAAATTTCCTGAAAGCCGTATTAAGTAAATAAGCTCGTAAAAAACACAGAGCATCGGTAGTTTCGTCATTCAGGGAAGATCGAATTTTATTTTTCTGCAAATTTGATCGGCCACAGAAAAAGAACTTTCTGATTCTAAGCTTGCTAGTACAATTAATCGTACATTATTTTCAAATACGATCCATTGGTACCAGTTTTTTTTTCAAAAATCGTGTTAGTGCTTCATCTAAAGCTGTCTGCGTCTTCAAGCGTCAATCGTCTTTGCAAAATATCTCGCAAGGACATCGAACTGGACGAATCCCAGCTTATTATAGTTTCATTATCAAATGTTATTTTTGAGGAAGCCTCTTCAGTTAAATTTGAATATCATCGTCAAACTCCTGTAATATCTTTTTTGTAATTCGCGACGATAATGAAAGCTATTATAGTACTCAAACAGGTGTTGTAATGAGACTCCTTACAGCATCCGATGCTGTAATGTAGTATCAGTTTTCAATACTGCTCATAAATCGTTCGGGAGTATTTGGAATCCCGGAATATCGGTATTAAAAGCCGTAGTAAACCGAAACTGTAAATAAAAGAGGTGAAGCAAAAGCCAATTGTGTAATACAATAAGTACATGAGTGGGATCGACCGTATGGATCCAATAATATCCTGTTGTTCGTAAAACAAGTCTCTGCACCATTTACCAAACTAAGTAGAATAGAGTTAGCGAATGCAGAATTATTTATCAGTTAATTAATTAATTCACCGTGTATATTAAAGAATATAAAAATTTTAATTGTTCATTGTAACATATCTCATTAAAAAAAATTTTTAAACGAAATAACCTTAACCAAAGATGATATTTTTTTGTCGAATTTCAATTTTAATTTGTTTAACATCCAACGTTTTCACGGTTTGTGTAAGAATCCTTTATTTGTTTAAATTAATTAATTAATTTTAGGCACCTTTATTTGAAGAAGAAGAAGTTCAACAAAGATTTAATATGGATACATTTGAACGCGATGGAAAAGTGTGTACTTGTTACGTGGTGTGTTCTTGTAAACAATCTTTGGAATCGTCGTCCACCGAGGGAATAAGAAAATTAATAAGTCCATATTAATTTTTATAATTCTAAATAAATCAATTAAAACTTACTTTTCATATTTATTTATTGACATAAATTTATTTTAAGGCATGCAAAGACGAATTATAAAGCTGAAGCATTTGCTGTTGTCGAAATTTTCAATTCTTTCTATGGTACCTTTTGCGTTCCCGTCATTTTTAAAAAACAAATTTCCGCCTTGGCTGGTATCATTGTGAATGTTGGTGTGTAAAATACGTTGTTCAACTTCGTTGTTGGGTTCCGGGCGGCTGTTTACTAAAATAATCTTAAAGAAATAACTTTTTTTTAAAGAAACTTTTTCTTTTTAAACCACTTACATGTACAAAACAAATTATCAAAGTTGTAATTTTCGACATTTTCGATTTAGGTACGACTTAAAAATCTTTAATTAAACATTTTTTTAACCGCCAATAACGAATTTATATATTCGTTTTCGACATATTAATTTTATTAATCCTTAATTAATTCCGATTAATTTAAGAAAGTTAATATGGTATTGTTTAAAAGAAAATTGTGGTTTCGAATTAATTAATTTCTTCGTTTATTGGTAACATAAATCAAAAGCATGCACAAATCACAAGGCAAACGCATTTTGGGTCCTTTTTAGGGATTTCTCTGTATAGTGAGTAGTTCATGTTCGCTTTATTATCAATTGCGACGTTTCTTATGTCGGAGGTATCGGTTCTTATTACGTTGTTCATAAGTCTCACTACGGGTTCTTCAGATTCATTATCACCAAAAATCTAAAATCGATTTGGTATATTAATCTCAAAAAAATTTGTTTTATTTACTTACGACACTATTTATTAAGATATACGAAAAGAGTAGTACTACAATCATTCTGATAAACCTCTTCAACTGATGAAAAAGTTTAAGTTTTTTTAGCTTTTATAAAAAGGATCGTTAACCAAATCGATTTCCTTTCTTAGTGTTGCGTTACAATTTATATTGATTTTTAGATTTATCGCCAACAATAAATTGTCCCTAATAAAGTAAATCATAAATTTTATTTTTATTATTATCTTATTAAATATTGCTGCAATTCGAGTAAGTAGATAGATTATTTTGATAGTGTTTCTAACATATTAATCATGTTGTTGTTGTTGGTAGTTGTTTGAACTGTTTGAAGTTTTGTTCCTGGAAAGTTTGCGAATCCAACTAAATCTCCGTAATTCGATTACGTGCAGTTAACTGGAAGTGTTTTAAACCAAATTTAAATAATATGTCGTTNTATCGTAAATTGTATCTTGATGTGTATTGAGTTAATATATTTATGAATCTTGTTTATAGTGTTGTTGTCTTTAGTATTAACAATGACTAGTATGTCATATACATACTTGTTCCAAAATTTTATGCTTTCAAAATATGGATTTTTTCATGGAAAGAGTTAGTAGGATTTTTTAGGGTTTTTATGAAATTGTTATCGTTAAGGAATTTTTTGGTTTTTTCTATATAATTTATCTTATCCAAAATGACTAAACCTGCACTTTTATCGCCCTTAGTAAAGATTAAATCATTTTTTTCTATTTTCTCTTTGATGGTTTTCAATGTCTTTTCTTCATTTTTCCTTTTCTTTTCTGTTTTTTCGTTGTTCTTTTTCTTCCTTTTTGTTATTTTAGTTTCTTCTTTCATTAGTATTTGTTGTAAGGTTTTGTGTATTTCTTCTTCTTTTGGCAGTCCTCTCGTAGCTGCTTCTATTTCTAATGCTGTTTTTCTGAGGTTGGTTGTTTTATATATGGAATATTTCAGTCCTTTTTCTAGTAAATTCATTTCGTTTTGATTAAACGGTGTCTTTGACATATTTGTAACTCTTTTATGAAATTTATGTGTTGTTAAATTCTCTCTTGTTGATGTCGTATTCCTATTCTTCTCCATTCTTTGTTCTTCTCGAAGTTGTTTCAATTTTTTGTCTTTCTTTTCCCATTCTCGGAACAACTTCTCCTTCTGTGTTTGTTCTATGTTTACCATTATTTCTTCTATTTCTTCGAAGTGTAAAGTGATAGTTAATTCTTGGTATGTATAGTATAGTTGGATATTGATGTCGTTAATTATAGAATAATGTTTTTTTACTTCTGTTTTTATATCTTTTGTCATGATTCTTTGAATCAAATCTGTTTTTAGATGTTTTGGAAATTTATGTCTAGCAAATTTTGGTTTCAGTTCTTCTTCTAAACATGTTCGTAGGAATAGTATGTGTTGGAACTCCTGAAGATGCTCCGAAAGGAACGAAATAATAAACACATTTCACCTTTAAGTGCAAAATTTGTTTAATTGAATTACCCAGGTGAAAAGAAAACAAAAATGAATATTTTAATTATGTAGTTTAAAAAAACTCGAGTTTTCTTGAAAATTCTCATACAAGGAACCGAGGAAGTTCATTATTCCCAGCATTATCTGTATAAGATTATACAGAGAATATTGAAGTAAAGGTTATAATACGCTGTTTATTAAAACGGAGTGTTTCAAAGCTCTAGCTGAAAGCAGCGCGCTAACAAGCGAATTGAAACATAAAACTATTGGTGGGTTAGAGATGTTATCTTAACTAAGTTTTCATCGTTTGAGAGAATTATTTCAATACAAATTTCAGGAAAAATATCATGCTCATAGAAAATCTTTTTAAAATAAAATTAAAAATATAGAATTTTAAAAAATCGTATCTCATGGACGAATTGAGATATCATTATAAAATAAAGATCATTTTAAAACGAATTTAATGTGCAATAAATAATTTTTTAATCAAGCTCTGCATATTTGGTTGTTATAGACTTGAAATATAAATTATAAAAAATTTTTGTAGGAAATGTTGCAAGTTTAAATATTTTCAAGTGTTACGGTGTTACCAACTGCTTTTATTTTTGAGAAAAAAAAAAGATTAAAAACGCGAATTACAAAAAATAGCATAAAAAACACGTTTCATAAGACTTAAAGCACTCATTTATTAAAAAAAAATTAAATTCAAACGTGTCTTACGAAACTTGTTTTTTTAATAGACTATTTTATGCATATGCGTTGCAAAATATCGAAGAGGTGTAGAATTACTAAAGCAAAATTCCGACCGGAAATTCGCCGTCACGATCCGATGTAGATAAAAAGTAAGGGTTTACAGGAAGCGATTTTTAAATGACGTCGACGTTGCGTTAGAATTCAATTATTGTTTCGCAACTCAGAATGCCGTAGTCAGCCGCTGCGTCACGTGTGCATGAATATGTATTCACCCTTAGGATTTTCTAAGAGGATCAATATGCATTTTTATGAAACGCGTTTTTATTATTTTTACATATAACGCGAACTATGTATATTTTAAATCCAAGCATCATCTATTTTAAACTCAACAATATGTTCATAACATTCTGTGCTCTCTTTTTATGTTACATACTTTGTATCACCACTTCACATGAAACGTTGCATGTATAAACGTAATTATCCACATACAACTTTGCGTGTACACTATCACCATTAATAAATTCCATTTCATTTTAAACGTTATACATAAATTCTATTAAAATCAACAAATACACCAAATAACAGAAAAAAATCAAACTTGAAAAAGTAATTTCGTGAAAAAGTGGTTCACTTTTGTTCTGCAGGACTGTTTAAATTGCTAACAACTCGCTTCGTGACCCACTTTTCCTCCGAATCCATCGTTATAATCCAGCCCATCAACTATTTACACGGGATAAAACATCGAGCTTTTAAAGTCTCACAATGAAGCTAAAGTGCGGACACCTGCGGAAATTTTGATTACGCCTGGTGAAGCTCATCACTTAACTGATTAATTTTCTTTTAATGAAATTAACCATACAATTCAACTAAATTCAACTCAAGATGCTTCCTGAAAATGCAACATTCCTAAACAATACCTAAACCGGGAAAGAACACGATTTCTGAAAGAATTTTACTGGAGCGAATGCAAGAAGAAGCAGAAATTAATCAATCTGGATTCCGAAAAGTCAATTTGGATTTAGGGAAAGTAAAGCAGCTATACAACACGCGGCGAGTTTCATTAGTACGTTGGATAGTCTAGGAGATGGTATTTGATGTTGACTTCGTCTGGAAAAGTGGGTTGCTCACAAAGATGATCAAAGCCAAGCTGGAAGAGAACCTAATCAAAATGACGGCTTCTTTTTTTCAAGAATAAGTACTTCTGATATGCTGGAAGCTATAAAGAAAAAGACGAGGTATGTATATATGCACTTAAGTTCCAGCGGTCCCTTTGTACATTCCCACATTTTACAGTTCAATCAGGGATCAGAAAACCAACCCAAGGTTTTAATGAACGTTAATATAGAACAGAACGGTATGTTCTTTATATCCGAAATTCCTACTATGCCTACTCCAATGCCTACTAACCGCCAGCATAGCCTGTCTGCTACCTGTGCAGATTACAACATTTCTGCCAACTTTTTTGAACTCGATGATCACATTGGTTGCTACATTTATAGCAGTTATTTCGGCCTGAACAGTCGTGCAGTACGACCCTAGCGAAGTGAAAAGGTATAGCTGAAGATCGTGCGAGAAAATTTCGGCTCCGGAGCTTCCAGCCTTCTTTAATCCATCAGTGTAGATGGTCAGCGTTTTGGCCGTGATTAAGTTGTTCTGGGGTATCGTTTCAATGCCAAAGACTATTCCTATTTTTACAATCTGCTTATTATCCACTGACCGCAATCGAAGCAACGCCATCACGGTCACCTCCCTGATAAAAATATCTAGGGGCACCACTAGAAGGGCAATATCTATTGCCCTTCGACACTGGGTAAGCACAATCGTTGCCTTTCTGGTTTTGCAACTAATGTGTGATTTCCAAGTTAGTCCTTTGTACAAGATAACGTCAAGATATGTCACCTCTGGAGCAAAGGTTAATGAACAGTTGCAGAAATGGTTTGGTGTTAAGCGTCTCAGTTTGCCAACAATCTAAAAAAAAGACAATATGAGATATGCTAGAAAAAAGAAAATTCAAGTTGGTGAAAAGCCAATATTGGAGAAATTTGACATAGCACCGAAAGAAGAAGAAGAACATGTAAATAATTGTAAAATAATTAAGATAAATTGACATTAACTAAAATAAAATAAACATTATAAAGAAATAGTTAATTATTCTTACAAGTCTTTAACATTAGAAGTAAATTAAATGCTGGAATCTAGACGTTAAGTGTGATAAAGTAATCCAATTACAATGAAAAACGTTCGTAATTCTACCTTGGTTACTTCAAAGATGGGGGGAAAAGATCGTTTTAGAAAATTAACGATTGTTATAACTTACCCATAAAAAGAAAAAATAATGTCACCATTAAAACCAATAATTTTAGAATTGGTCAATTTTGTTCCTCATTTCATGGTTAAATTAACTTACGAGATTCTACTGATATAAACGTATATGTCAAATCGTTTCCATCAATCCATGATGCTTCAAATCATTCTTAGTGTTGAGTAAATACAAGTGAGGACTCTGGTGAGCTTAGAAAACGAACAAGGAATAGCGAAGGAACCCTTCGGCGCGGCACAAATCCTTCTTTTGTGCCCTATTTGCAGAGACAGCATTCCGCAACGTGCCTAAGACCACCTGCAGAGCACGCGGAACTTGTCACCTGCTACCTGCGGACCTTTTATTACCGCTTTCCATTCCGTTGCTCCCGCTCCGTGAAGTGTAAAATGTGAGGGAGGTTCGTTTCAAGCCTGTTAGAATCGCGTGATGCGGGCCTCCTTATATAATATAACAATGAAACGACCAATTCCAAACAACGGTTTGGGACGTAAACATTTTCTTTGTCCTGGCCAAAAGAGTTTAATCGATCAATGTGACGTAAAGAATTGGTTCGTTTAATTAGAAATTGAGCGAAAGATTTTATGGGATTATTAATAAATCACGTTAATTTATTTCCTTTTTATGTTCTCCCACTGATCTTTAAGATTTAGACAGTAACAATCATGAAACTTTTACTATATTTAGCAATCTTTTATTTCAAAAATGTAAGGGAACATTATTAACATTTATTTTTAATTTAAATTCTTTTTTAGGCATTAATCCAATCACTTCGTGACGATTTAGAACAAAATTTGGATTTAAATTCAATATTAAAAAGTAAAAATTGGATTCCTTTAGGCTGGGTTGTTTTAGTTCCAACGAAATCAAATTTAAGCGAAAAAATGGACTTTTCTCTTCCTAAATTACCCAATTTAATGAATTTGCAAAATCCTTATGCGTTAATGAAACCAAACGAGATTCATAACGATGAAAACGAAGAAGCCGATGTTAAAAATAACATTTTTAGAGTAAAAACACTAGTTAAAACCGACGATGATGATGATGATGACGACGACAATTGGGACATTAATAATGAATTAAAAGACACCGAATTAAAAGCAATGGAATTATTAAATTTGTTTAAATCGAAAGATTTTGAAAATAATGATCCGTTTAAAGTCGATTTTGAGCTTAAAAATAAAGAGCATAAACTGAAGAAATTAATTAAATCGTTTTCTATTGAATATGAAGAAAGTTATGATGATGAGTACGAAGAAATCGATGCAAATAATATGCAACCTAAAAAGGAGAAATTCAAAGTTGAGGAACTAAAAGAGCCAAATGATGAAAATAATAAAGGTGCAATTAAAGATCATGTATTTAAAGTAAAAACAATAATCGATACGGAAGATGATGACGATGAAAACATAGAAGATGAATTGAACAACGATTTGGAACTCAAAAATGCGGAACTTAAAGCAATAAAAATATTCAATTTATTTTTAAAGGATGATTTTGAAAAGAATATCGATAACGATGAGAATATTCAAGAACCATGGAAAATCGATTTTGAACTCAAAAATAAAGAACTAAAAGTTAAGAAACTAATTAAATCGTTTTCCATCGATTTTGAAGGAGATGGCGAAGAAAACGATGATTACAATGAATTAGATGATTTTAGCAATGAATCCAACAGCAAAAAGAACGGCTATATTGTACATAAAGTAAAAGAACTAAAAACAACGTACTCTGACAACGAAGATTACCGAGAAATAGATGAAAATATTAAAGATGAATCGGAGGTTAAAGTGATGAAACTAATAAAATTATTTTATATTGATTATAAACCTAACGAAGATGATTTAGAGATTCAAGTACTAGATGATCAAGAAAAAGAAGGTGATTCTAAAAATTTAAATGTTGAAACATCTAATGATGAACATAAAGAAGGTGTGATTGAAAATGAATCAAAATATAAAAACGATGTAACAAGATTGATGAAGATTCACATGGATGATTCAAAAAGATGAGAAGAAGATGTTGCGAGTTGATTGCGTTACTGGCTTTGTATTGTTCATAAATATAGTTTCTTTATATTTACAAAATATTCAATTTTATTTATGGTGCATTAAATCTGAATTCGTTCTTGAGATACGATTTTTTTAGATTTAAATTTTATATTTTAGTTTTATATAAAATAATTTCATTCATATATTTTAATATAATCTGATTTTTATTTAAATCAATTGTCAAAGTGTCGTCAAGTTGGTATTGAAAGTAAAAGCGCATGTCGTGACTTTTACTTTAATTGTGTGCCAC